TAGATTTGCTACTGGCGCGTTTGCGAAAACAAGTCGTCAACACACGTCGGCTCCGTTTCCATGCGCGCGGTCAGCCAGGAGAGCGCTTTTTTTCCTTCTCTAGTTTGCTCCTAGCTGCAACGACATTTAACCCTTTGTTTGCCCTCGTCATGTTTTGGCTTTGTGCCTTTTCCACTTTTGAAATGCTTGCCCTCAAAAGAAGATAAACTTTGTTTCGCAGAAAAGGCACAAGCCTTTGACAATCAGAGATCTTGGGGCTGTGATATCAAAACCCTTATATAACCATACACAATTATTAATTAGGAGATTTCCATTTTGGATTTATAAATCATTAATTTGGCTCATATTTAAGTTTTTAGGTGAATATTTTATATAAAAAAGGTACAAACGGGACATATTTTTTTATATATAAAATTTCACATTTTCCTCTCTCCTTTCTGTGACATGACAAGTTCATTATTTTTCATTTCACAAACCCAATATGGCTTCTCCTTGTGTCAACAATATTGTGACACATATTTCATAATAACGCGGAATTTCCACCAGACGTTTTTCCTTGTGGTGCACAAAACTGGAATAAACACATTAAGATTAATTCTTTACCCTCAAAAATGGCTTGGAAAATGTCAGCGCTGCTCTTTGACCAATTTTTTTTTTCGGAGAGATGAAATTTATTTTTGATTCGGTACCCTGTGCCCTTTTGTATAAAAACTGAATATGTATAAAATCTCCGCTTGTATAATTCGTGGTGTCGGTTAGGCGTGAGCGTGACAGCTATTTGATGTATGAACAGCCTAATCATTACAGATGACTAGCACCGCCCATCGTGAATTTGTTTCAAAGTTCATGTGCGCGCGTGTGGTTAATCACTGTGCATGTTTTCAGGCTCAACGGGCAAGCGAAACGGCTATTCAAACATGTGTTAAAGCGACCCTTTGAACCGTTATTTCACTCTATTGAAAAAAAATTCATCTGTATTAAATACGAGAAGAGCAAATTTTTGTCAAATCAATCAGCGGGAATGGCAGACTTGAGACCTCTTACAAAAGTAAGCGGTTTAATTTCAGCAATCAATTTTCATCTTCTTTCTTGTACACCAGGACTGAAAAGAGCTATTAAAATACATTAACCCTGTAAAGAGGAAAATATGGTAAATTTCCATTAGAGCGTGGCAAATGCTGGTTTGCTCAATAAACCTAGGCTTTTATATGAGACGCATCAAAGTTAGCCGCGCGCAATTTTATCACAGTTTTTATGTGCAAAGAAGCTTCATACATTATAGATGGGCTTACCATTTTCTCAGTTTTGCATAGACACCTATAAAGATTGCCTTACTATTGAACGCAGAATGTTGTAAACATTACCAAGAAGTCTCGTATAATATTTTACGACTCGCTATCAAAATTGAAGAGCCAAGATGAAGTTTTAATAATAAAGTTTTAGAAATGTAAAAAGTTTTCAAATCAACGATTTACAGCAAAAGTGAAATAGTTTATAAATTACAGATTTTTCGCATCTCTCGTCTCGGCGGTCGTGTTGCAAATTGCGGAGGTAGCAGACACCTTTACCTGACAGTATTAGAGCGCGAAAGGGTTAGTCTAATGCTGCCCGGTAAGATGGATGCACGCTCCGTTCCTCTCCTTTGGTTCTTCTGCTCGGCGTCCCGGACGAGTCGCGACTGCGAGTGGTGGTCGCGGTCGCAGCACAGGGCCGAGACGGTCTCTTGAGAGAGAGGGGTGCGGGTCAAAGGGCCTCGCGCACATGATCGACTCGTGAACCCTGGACCTGAGATAAAAGATGCGACGAGGGTCACGCCAGAGGCCATCGGCCCGTGAACCGCAGCCATGCACCGCAGACAACCTAATCGCTAAACTGATTTCACAACGCGCCACTTGATTGGCACCGACTTGTCCGATTGGCCCTTTTAATGAGACGGACAGCTCGTTTTTTTCCTCCTCTCTCGACTCTGGAGACGCGTCTTTTGGCGATGGCACTCCAACTGAAGGGCAGAAAAAAGATTGAAATATGTGCGTAGTTCATAAAAAACTGCAGCCGACAATGTAAATTTTTTTTAAATGCTTTAAAAATTATTTAATCATTTAATCGAGTATTTCATATGGAAATTTAGTTAAATTACTGTTGAATTTTTCTCCATACATCTCATTACAAAAATATCAAATTTATTTCAGCACATTCAGCTTGAAGAACTTTGGCCATAAATAAATATAGAAATCTATGGATAAATAGAATTATATTAATAAATAATTACTTTGTTTGGGCAGCTTACAGTCTTGCTTACAAAATGACGTATCATTTAGAATGAATGAAATCATACATCGATTTATGCTTTATTTTATGTTCTGTTAAAAAAGTTCTCCTTTTCGAAACTTATTTTGTATTTATTTAATTATTTCACTTTATGGTCTTATTGGGTTGGGTGTATAATCATGAATTAATTAGTGGTTGATAGGAAAAAACCAGTCACTTCTTAACTACCAGTTGCCCCAATAAGTATGACAATATGAAAAATCCTACATGAAAAAATAAATAATTTATTATATGAAAAGGCACTATTGTGATGATTCGATTATTAAATGCAAGCTAATAATAGTTAAATTAATATCTTTTGATGGTTAACTTTTGAAAATAAAATGAGTGAAATTAAAAAAAAAAATAAAAAATAATAATAATTAATAAAAAAGATGCAAATTTTGAAGAGAAAAAAAATAGAATTAAAGCTATCATTTACTCATTCTAACTAAAAATAAATTTTTAACTTAAAACTTTAAAATAAATTTATTTTACTAGTATTTTACCATTAAGAATTAGGAACGTTCAAATTTCACCGTTTAGTGTGTGGTTTAAAAAAAAATGCAAAAACAACTGGCACAAAAAAATAATCACACGTTGTTTGCGAATTTGGAATGATTTTTACCTGTTCTAAAAGAGCAAAATTTGGTAGAAAAATTGCAAATTTTGATTTACCAAAGTGTCGTTGGTGAGTTTTACTTGTGGCGATCGGAACCTTGTGATATACACTGCTGCTGACTCGGCTACACTCAAACGCGGATCTTCCTATAGCCGCTCTCTTTTTAGAATTGATAACATCATGGAGGCGGAAGTACGATATTGCACAACGTTCACACTTCACAAATGAAATGCTGGTGTAGCGAGCGTTTTTTAATCAATTTCGGTTTGTGCTTGAATTTTTTGTACCAGAGCGCGCTTGGAAAAAGATAATGGAAAGGTCTGCGGAAATGAGGGAATGCGAGAACACGCAGCACACACACTATCTATTGTGATAGAGATAATGAAACGTAGCCAGTTTGTTGTAGAAGAAAAGGGTGCCCTTTTTTTCTATAATTCTTTTAAATAAATAATATAAGACATGGAAGATAAATAATTGTCATAAATTAGGTGAATTTTTGTGTTTTTTGGAATTCATTTTTATCAATTAAGTATTTTCATTTATTTGATTTTGAGATAAAGATCGTGTAATATTGAATGATTGGAATATTTTTTTCATCATGTTAGATAATTTATTTGACTATCCAGAAAGGTAGATTTTAAGTGTGGGGAAATTTGCAATTAAATAATTTTTAATTATAAAATATGGGAGAAATTTTTAAATCTAGATTAATTTTAGAACAGAATTATTATAGAATAAGTTTAAATTTTTAAAAAACTAAGTGTCACATATTTTAAAAATAAATGGAATATTTAATATTTTTTAATGAACCGAACGTTTTCCCACTTTAAAAAAATAAAAAATTTACATTTTTCTCCCTACACAAAAATACTCCGATATGAAATAAAAATAATAAAAGGTGATTTGCATACCATTCAATTTTAGCTTTTAAATTATTGAAAAGAGAGTATCGACCGCTCTCTCTTATAACTTGTAATAACTGTCAGAGGGAAATCAACAAGGCAAATTAATGAATGCAGAAGCCGTAGCACGTGAATCAAAATGTAATTCGAATTACGCTGACGGCAAGCGGCGCTTAAATCGAATTTGCATGAATTAAAATGCAACGATGGATTCGAGCGGAGGACGAAATATATGAGAGATAAAATACAGCGCGCGGAGAGGGACAAACTTTTTGTTCGGCCGCTCGGCCTGGGTTATATTAAAACAGGCTGCACGCTGCTGTGTAATGTGCATTGCGTCACCAGCGCGCGGCTATCAATATCATTATAATGCACACACACATGCTGGCCACTCTCCGCCACTGTAGACGTGGACAAGTCCCATGTTCTTTTCAGTCAACATGGGGGTGTATTTAAAAATATACAAATACATATTGCCTGATTTTTCTCCTTTCCAGTTCAGGCTTATTTTTTTTTATAAAGATGAGAAAAAATATTGCAGAGAAAAAAACTTGAAGATAAAAAAAGAGTGACTTGCGCGGACAATTAAAAAAAATGATGACTCACGTGATTTTTAGGTTTGCTAATTTTTAGTGCTTTTTATAACTGCCGTGTGATTATATTGTTAAATTTAAGTTAAGGTTAAAATAATTTTTTTAATGCGGAAAAAAGTTTGAACGCGTAAAAAAACAAAAGAGGAATGGTGGACATGCCGGTGCCGCTGGCAAAGGGCAAAACACCACGAGAAAGGTGAACCAGTGCGTGTTGCGGTGCAATTTAAATTTAAAATTTCTCGGCTGGCATGACGTGTCACAAGAAATGACACTTTTCGGCGCCGAGGCAGATTGTCATACTTACGCGTGGCGACGACAGACGTTTTTTTGCAAAAGATGCCCACGCGCAAGGAGGCGTTTTCGCGAGTTGCTCCGATTAATTAGCGGCTGCAATCATATGTGTTAGCCTAATGACGATAAAATATAGTGTAGCGTTTGCACGCACACAAAAGAATTGTACCCGCAGCGAGAGGAATCGCGGATAAATGGCAACGCCATCTCCGCGGGGCACCAGTAACAAAAAGCAACGATCGGTTAACCGGTTCCGGTGACGATTTAACCGGAAGAAAAACCTTTGGAAAAATTAATCGCAAATGGGAAACGAGAAGATGGAAGCCATGGAAGCTGTCTGAGGCGAAATTCGGCCGATTCGCCGCGATTTTTCGGCATTCGTCGAGGCCTAGGGGCAGTGCGGAAAATGTGGAGGGTTGACTTGTGTCGAAGGACGGAGTGAAGAGCTCGAGAATGCGAGAGGACGAGGTGGATTGTCAAGGACTGGCTGCGCTCAGCATTCGGCCCGACGACTCGCAGCGCCGTTCGGCCCGATTTGAGTCGCTTCCACAGGAGGTTCTGGCCAGGATCCTTGAGTTCTGCGACACTCGTGACATCCTGACCTGCGAATTGGCCTGCGACGCGGCCAGAAACGTCGCTGCAGACCAATACTTTTGGTTAGTTCGACCTGCGACCTCCCGATAAAATGGCCCTCTCAAGTTCAAACTAAATTAGACAGAAAGATAGACTGCCGAATCAGTCGAAATTTGAAGCTCTAAAATCTTGACCCTCAAAGAAATTGATTTCTATAGTTTCTTTACAAGTTATTTTTAATACGGCAGTATTTTAATGAGAAAGAAACAATTGGAAAGATCATTTTTTTTTAATAATTTTATCGAATTTTATATATTTAACTTAATTTTTTGCGAAATGTATGTTTAAATTTAAAACGAATTTCAAAGTTCAAATATTATATTAAACAAACTTCAAAGTTTAAAAAATTTTCTAGAAAAAATTAATTTAATTTGATTTATGTTATAAGCAAATACATACAAAATTAGACTACTATTTTTGTTCTGCATTTGTCGACTGATTGAAACAAAAAAAAAAAAATTAAATAACCTTGGTTTTTAATATTTTTATGTACTATTCTTATTTTAAATAATAAAAAAATCATGGAAAAATCCTTATAAAACTTCTTTCATTGAAGTTTGATAATTATTGAAAACTGAATTTTAACATTGTTTCTATAGGAAACGAAAGTGCCAGCTGCTCCTTCGACGTTATGGGATGCGAGTGGATGACTACAAGGGGTGGTTCAATGAGGCACTTGACTTTCGAGCTGTATGTCTGCGACTAGACACCATTTTTGAGCAGAACGAATCGTCGTTCAGCAAGTGCAACCGTTGTCGACGTTTTACATGTTTGCAGGGATGTCTGGAAGACAGACATCAAAAGTATGTGGTGGACGTGGGCAGCAAGCTGAGCTGGGTGGTGACTCCAATGATGGAGCTCAAGCGCCACCAGACCATCCTCAGCCTGCCCAGGTCGATCAAGTGCGCCGACTGCGACTCTCTCGTCAGCAGTCTCTTTTTCGGCGCCAGCTCGCCTTGCAAATGCACAGTCGGCAAAGAGTACAAGTAAGAATATTAAACTTTAATTATTTTCAGTTAAAATATTTAATTTATTTTGATCTTAATACTGATCTGCCTTAATTTTCTTTGCAGATATGAAAAGTTTGGCAGCTCGTCAAGCATCGTAGGTCGAACAGGCCGTTTTGAATATTGCAGTCCCGAGCTGGACGAAGGCGTGGAGACTCGCTGCCTTTACTGCAAGCACCGTGTGTACACAGAGAACTCGACTGGGCAGGAGTGCCACCTGATGCGCGAATGCTGCAACGAAGACTCAAACGTGTCCGCCCGTCCGGCCACTGCTGAGGTGGCCGAGGTTCGCAACGGCTTCTGTCTTGACAGCGCCCAGCAGATGAACCTGCGCAGTCTTGACTTTGTCAGCCCGGAGCTGGCGTTGCGCCAGGGCGGCCGAAAATTGGCTCTGACAAAGGCCTTCCTGAGACATCTGCTTGCTCCTTCCGGAGACCTTGAGGAGCTGCGCAAGCCGCAGTGTGTGCTTGCCTTTTGCGAGCCGCTCAACCTGAAAGCTGAAGTACGCAAAGAAATGCTCGAATTCTTTTTTCTTGACCTCAAACTCAGCAGGTATGTGTAAAAAAATTTGTTAAAAAAATATATTTTTAAATATTGATAAAAATAAATTTGTGCAGGGTTTGCATGGTGCCAAAGCCATTGGCCGTAAGCGCCGAGCGAGGTTTGGACAACTGCATTGTGGTTGACTCTGGAGCGCTGAACACCGTGGTTGCGGTCATCATCAAGGGCCAAATTGTGATGGAGCGTTGTCGCGAACTGGCAATTGGTGGTCGTCAGATTGCCGAGTCTCTCCACCTGGCACACGCCTGTGATGACGCCAGCCAGGTTCGAATTGGACTGAAGGCTTTAGGAACTTATTCTTACCAATATTTTGCTTAGCAGGAGATACCTGTGAGCAGTTTGGACAGTGCCGAGGTCAAAGAGCAGTGCCGTCTTAGCTACAACCTGGCCCAGGAAGAGCAGAGTGAGTGCACGGTGCGCTGCGAGTCTATTTGGGTGCCAGCACCCAACCGCAAGAACATGAGAATGAAGGTCAGTCATTATTTATTTAACAAATTTAGAAGCAAAAAAGCGGTGTCTTTGAAAATATTGATTTTGTGAAATGAACAAAGAAAATAATAAGAATAAATAAACAAGGCTTCGTTATGTGAGGGATGGTGATTAATTTTTTTTATTTAATACTATTTGTTTTTTCAGAGCTGGAAACCTATCAAGCTAGGGAACGAAATATTCAGAGCACCTGAGTACATGTATGTCCAGCTAAACCTGCCGCAGATCATAGTCGACGTGGTCCTCGGCCTGCCAGAGGATGAGCTGAAAGATTGCCTGAGTCATATTGCACTCACTGGTATGCTTTGTACCCAAACACTCGTAGGAATTTATTACTTATTGTATAATTCACAGGAGGGAACACAAGTCTGAATGGCTTTGACACTCGACTAAAGCGCGACTTGTGCGAATTGATGCCCATGTATGCACCAATTATTGAAATTGCTCGAGCAGTTGGCTCGCGGAGCTCAGACGCGGCAGTCGGCTCCACCTTCATTCCGTTCCCTTTGAAGCATGGTAATGATTAGATTTGTTGTTACTTATTCTTGTATTTATTTTCCTTTCAAATTTTCAGAGCCAGTACCCCAAAAGTCGGAGCCAGGTTGCGCATCGTGGATCTCAAGGGATGAGTTCATTTTTTACGGCGCCGACCTTCTCTGCTGAGAGGAAAGGTAGGGAGGGTAGCCAAGCGGCACAACAAGCAGTTCTTGTTATTGACTTGATAACTTGAGTGACCTGATGCATAGAAAGTCGTTTCGGATTCTTATCCAAATCACAAAGGCGATATTTTCAAGCCCAACGTTTGTTAACGGTTAAGAGACTATGTACGCAAGAGAGAGAAAGAGAGAATGATTATGAGTGCAACTGAATTGGTGTGCAGGAAAACAAGCCGAATCTTAGAATCGATGTCACAAAATTTCTGATCTAGTAGTTGGCGATTCAGATGATAGAATCAAAACCGAAATGTGTAGATTTCCAACATTAAGTAGTTTTCGGCTATTCCCAGCCAAAGTAATCGACTCCCATCTCACCTATTTGCGGTTGATAGTAATCAAATTATTACTCTTTGTGATTGTGAGGAATTGCAAGGGATTCTCGGAGAAAGTAAAGGACTATTTATCTCAACATTCGGGAGCATGTGAAAGGCGCACCTTAATACAAATCGTTGTTTCTATCTTGTAAGGAACAAAAATAACTAGTTAGACGTGCTTATAGAAAATTTGTCAGAAATTATTGTGGGAGATTTAAAAAAGAATACATTAATGATGATTGCTGTTGCTATTTTCCGAGAATCCTTGATTATCAGCTTTGATTTAGTTTCTCCTCTTTCTTTTTATTTACTTTTTAGAAGGAGCTGTGAGTAGTTTCGTTCTGCCAGGCATCTAAATTCCAGGTGCCTGAAAGTTCAATTAATAATTTTAATTGCTTTATGATGATTGCCTAACGACCAAGTACAAAACAATTCGCGTATCTCTTATCACAAAGGAAGTGGAAAAAACACCAATTACTGAAATGAATACAAGTCCTCAGCGTGCGCGCGCGCTGTCCCTTAGTTGTTTTAATCATCTTGTATTGAATACATTCTTTTGTTTGATTTCTTTATCATGTAACTTTGAGAATGTTTTCTCAAGTGTTTCACAAAGCAAAACTTCTTTCACACTGCCCTCAGTTGTAGATTTGTCAACTAAGATTTTTATTTTCCTATAATCCTCCTGTTTTTAATGATAGTTTTGAAGCTCCCATTGTCTTCACACTTATGCCAGATTTGGGGCAGCTGAAACAATTAACTGTAAACTTCATTTCCTTTCTTATTATCTTAAAATACTTTGTGACGATATTTACCACTGTGAAATCTATTATTCAGTTGTAAAAAAAAAACTTTGACCGACTGACATGGAAAGTCCCATTTAACTTAACAGACTCGTGTTATAACAAAAAGTCTTGAAATATGATGGTTCATATTTTTGTGGTACCAAAATTTTATTCCTGCTTGAAAAGGCGGTGACGAAAAGAAAAACCTTGTTGTGTATCATGGTGTATTTAGTTTTTACTCATTGACACAATATTATTATATATATAATCACGATAAATATAAATATGAAATAATAACAAAAATGTAGCTCTGTGTCACTTTTCTGTCCGCAGAAGAAGTCTAATAAATGAAATAAGCATCCAAATTCGAGTTGTTTTCTTTGTTACAAATTTTTAGGAAACACTAGCAGCTGTTTTGAGCAGCAAGATTAAACCGTTTTAAAAATTCTAATGCGCAGTGCTAGCAGATTCTGGAAGAAAGATCGAAGTTGCGCTCAGCAAAATAAAAACTATCACAAATTCTCTTCGAGATTTAAACCAACAGTTTTTGAGGTTGCAGCGACATGAATAATACAGTAACAAAAATAAAACACACTAGGTCATAAATTAAGTTTAAAACAGAGGTTTTCAACTGCGCTTGCTGTTCGGGGGTCACAACTTGTAAAATATTATCTGAGACTAGTCGGGATTGTAAAACACTTGGGAAATGTGATGAAAGTGTAAAAGAGGATGCCGGAGTAGTTATGACAGGCAGGTAAAATACCAAAGTATCCAATCAAATTTGAATAAAATTTTAAACAACAAAAAATAAGGGCTGTTTTGAATACATATACGCATAAAAGTAAAAAGCCTGAAAGATTAAAAAATTGGGATGAAATTAAAACCAGATCAAATCAATGGAATCGCTGCTATTTTCTAATAGTCCTTTGAGGGCAAATCTACACCTAACAGCATCCACTCTTGGCCGGCTCGGCCTCAACCAAAGTTGGGTCGAACGCTGTCCTCGAGTATCCAGACTTGACACCATCCCAGCCGTCCTCCACTTTGTATTCACCGCTTTGTACTCGGTCATATACCTGAAATTTTTTTTTTTCTCTACATTATAATTTAAGCTTAATTTTGAACAAAGAACCTCTTGCGTTATGATCTCAAATGCCCTCTCCACATTCAGTCCGTTGCGCGCCGACGTCTCAATGAAAGGGATGCCCTGGTCCTTGGCAAAGGACTTGGCCTCCTCGAAGGGCACCTGCCGTTGCTGGCCACCGTCGCTGCGCACCAGATCCACCTTGCAGCCGACCTGGAAAAAAATTGACGCTCGGTTTTCTGCTCTGCTTGCGTTCAGCAATAAAATCGCACCAAGAGAAAGGTGGGCTGGTGCGGCTCGATGTGTCGTCGCGCCTCCATCATCCAGGCCGGAATGTGCTCAAAACTCGCCCTGTTGCACACGTCGTAAACCAACAGGGCGCCCACGGAATTCCGGTAGTACGATTTTGTGATAGATCTGTATAGGCAATGTTAAAATTTTATTTATTAAAAAATATTGAATTTAATTCACTAAAGCGACCCAAAGAGAGAATAAATTGACTCGAGGAAAATAAAGGTGAAATTTTTAAGAAAAAATAATCTAATTTTAAAGAGGAAAATAATGAATTATAAAATATTTTAACAAAGGAAAAAGTTTGAAAATATTATTTACAAAAAAAGATTTCAATCATTTTGTACATATTCACAAATAAAACCAATGAAATTTCATACAAAATTATGCTCTGTTGAAATAATTTTTTTACTTTTAATTAATTTATTGATGCAGTTTTTATTAATTTGTATTTTGTGGGAAATATTTATTACGGACCTGAATCTTTCCTGTCCTGCTGTGTCCCAAAGCTGCAGTTTTATCCTGGTACCGTCCTTGACTTCGATCAGCCTTGCGAAAAAGTCGACGCCCACCGTCGGGTCGGACAACTGCAAAAAAAAGTGGACAGTCAAAAGAGGAGCCTTGAAAGTGAGAATATTAATCAAGGACACGCGTGCTTAATTGCGAATCACGAACTTCCAAATATAGGCAAAAGGGAAAGAAAATTTCAATTCGTGCAAATACCTCGGCGAACTTGCCATCAGTGAAATACTTGAGCAGCGAACTCTTGCCCACAGTGCTGTCGCCGATCAGGATCAGCCGAAACTGGTAGTCGAAAATCGGCTCAACCATCTTTGAAGGTTGTCAACGACTTCCACCGACGCGCATTTCGACTCGCGAGGAAACTTGACTGATGAATTGAGACGCACAATCGCCAGATGCGAATCGCGAACTCGTCCGTCGCTCTCTCGCAATTTTATCTGCTGCTAGGTTGAGTCGTGACGTCACGTTGTTGTTTGCCTCGACAGCTGACTCGCGGCCAATGAACTGACGTCACGCAGCTCTTTAAATTTCCTTGGTAGGGGCGCGAAATCCAGAATGGATCAAAATAATTTAAAGCGAAAATTGCAAAAGAATCTATTTAAAAATAAAAAATAAATATTTATACTATAAATTGATGTAAAAAAAATATTTTCAAATGATGAGAACTAAAATTTAATACACAAAAAAAATTATTATAAATAATTTTTTACATATTTCATAATATACTAAATTTTTAAAAATTATGTACATAAATATAACTAATTAACAATACCCCCTTGAATGTTTTTAAATTTTATTTACTTTAAAACATGCTATATATTTTATCATTATAATTAACACACATTATATTAAAAAAAATTTACCCAATATACAACAATACAGTGCGATTAATGTACGAAAGTTCAACAATAATAATTAGTAGTAACGTTCACTTCTTTAATGCAATGGGAACAATTTGTTCTTGAATTAAATTAAATAAATAACAATAGCAAATTAAAGAGAATTAAACGTAGCGTGTGCGTGACAATCAAACTCAAGGACAATTTTAATTGCCGTTTCTTTTGGTGTTCGCGCAATCAAATGAAAATTTAAATACATTTAATTTTTAATTACAACTTATCTTTTAAGGAAAGAAGTGCACAAAAAGTGTTAAGAAAAAGTTCCGCATTATGTTTAAAATAAAGCAAAAGTTAAAATAATATTTAATTTTATTTGATACTAATAATTTAATAAATAGTTTCTTGAAATTTTGACACCAATCTAAATGATTTTGTCTTTGTCTGTTTTCTACTTAAAATTTGCAAAAAGTATAAAAACGAAGATATTTTGCACGTGTGGTAATCATAATAATTGTGCATCGTCGAGCTTTTGTAAACCACTGCATAGAGCTAATAAAATAGCAGCCACCTATAATAAGGGCTGACGAGCGATGCAAAGTGAAGCCACGTAAAGAGAAACTACGTGACAAGTCACCCTACGGCTTCTCACAGAAAGGTTTCTTGCGGGGAGAATTAGCGCGGCAAAAATCTACTGATGTGAATGCGAAAACCAAGGGCAAAATGTTCTAATTATTTGAAGACTTTATAAAAGTGAAAATATATTATAATTAATTTCCTTTTCACCATAGAAAAAGGAAATCGTTATTTTGTTGTCAATTTTATACTGTAAGGTTGTCGTTTGCTGTGAGAAAATAATATTTTAATCAAATTGATTAATTTGAACTTATTGTTTTGAATTTTTTTAAACGTTTGGGTCTAAGAGTCATTAGCTCTCCATTCTTTGCTTGTATTCTCTTGAAAAAAGTAATTATCTGTCAAAGTTCCTTTGCCTAACGTGAAAAAGGGAAGAAAAAGAGTCGCGATTCCTAATTCCCAACGGGGATATACCATATTCAGTCACACCCTCGCATTAAAGAGCGACGAATCCAACAGCCGCAGGTCGTGAAGGACTTTCATTTCGTACTCTCTTTGCTTAAAGAACACAGAAAAAGTCAAAATTCGCAAGCACGAGTGGAACGTGCAAAAAAAATTGATAATTTTTGAAATAATTAATAATTATTATTTATCAAAAATAATTTAAATAAGAAATATTACTTTGTTCTTTACAAGATGAAATAAACGGTCGGTGATTATTTGATGGAAGAAGTGAGCGAGGGGGGAAATGATTAGTGTTCTTTTTAATAATTCCTTCTCATCATTTAAAGAGCGAGTCTCCTTTCTGTGCTGAGATTTTAACTTTGACAAAAGCAGTACCACAAAAAGCGCAGACCTGCTTTCAAAGGATGAGCAAAGAGCAGACAGAAAGGGGAATAATGTGCCTTAAATTATTGATCCTTAATCAGTACATAAGAAAATAGCATGTTTTTTTTCATATGTATGTTTTATACTAGAAATAAAATCAATTCTACGGAAAATTTCCGAAGGCTACACGGGGGGGGGGGGTCTGAATTAAATTAAACCGCTTTAAAATACAAGTGTGACAAAATAAAATTAATTAATATTTTTTTTTGTTCTCAGACAATTTCAAATGAGCTGTGAAGTAAATTAAATAAATTGCTTTGAAAAATTAGCTCAGTGATCGTGTAAAATCAACTTCAAGAGGCATGATTACCTTGGGAACGTTGAAACCTTGCAATGCTTGTGGGTTTTGAGAAGCAGGTTCCGCGCCTGCACCCCCGTGGCGTTGAATGATCGCGCACTCGTGAGCACCGAAATCCCTCAGTCTCTCTGTGGTGCCCGCCAAGAACGTCCAAGCGTCTCCTCGCTTTTTCTCGCTTCCTCGCGACCAGACACAGGTACATTAATTTAAATAAATTCGACCAATTGAACATTTCATATAATTTATCACATCAATGCGGTTCTAATAATTTTATAAAGTTACTGAGTTTTTTTTTTTTAGTTTAGAGGAGTGATTAATTCAATGAATCATCAATAATTTAGCCGACACATATGGTTGATTAAAAGCTCAATAATATGCACAAAAGTTAAAAATTTTAATCACTTTTTTCGTGGTTGCTTTATTGAAGAACTTGATAGAAAAAAATTAACTCACCCTCCTGGAAAATATTTCATATTAATTAATAATTTTGGTTTGAGGTTTGGCACCCTAGGCACTTTGAGCTCATTGTTTCACACAAGAGCGGCCCAATATTGGGCCACAATAGACTCGCCTCTATAGTCTGACTTCCTATTGATGCTTGAGATGTTAATTATTTATTAATTAAACGGGAAACCATAGAACCATAGAAATTTCTAATTACATCTACCCATTTGCAATAATAATGAAAACATCATTCTTTGATAAAGAATCTTTTCTAACCATCTGATTTTCTAAAAATTACGCAATTTGCAACTAAAAATTTGGTGGTAAAATTAATAGCTGTAATAATTAAGAGTTATGGAACGATAGTATGGAAAATCAATTGAATTTAATCCGACCGAGCATAAAACAGCGTTTGCCTGCCACGTTCTGAGTGATGGTCTTGTTAATTAACATCACCTCACGAGACTCCTCATTCTCACCATGGAACCGCGAAAGGAGGCCAAAAACTAATAACCGCGCCTAAGCATAAAGTTGCAGCCTTTGTTTTGACAAGGCTGTATTAAATTGGCCATAGTTCAAAGGTGCCTTCACTTAGTGTGTTATTTGATTAATCAGCCCCGTTATTCATGTGAGCAGAGGGACAAAATGCGACACGCAACCTGCAGCTTAGAGAAATAGCGTTCGCAGGCAAATCGATGCCTCGTCCGAAGAGGGCCCTTCTTATGTATGGCGGACACACAAGTGAACGAACGTGTTGCCACCGCCGTTATGAGCAGAAGACGCGCGCTCTGATGACTCAAAGTGCACGAGTGACCACTTCGCATTCTGCATGCATAAAGCCAATCAATTTTAATAAGCAAGTGGTGCCTCCTGCTTGATCGATGCTAATGACCACAAAACGAACTTTCCCATTAATTCGCTTCGATAAAAATCAAATCTATACAAATTGTGACAAATAGTGCTGGCTACAATTCTTCGCCCGGCTTTCAAAAGATTAAAAAAAAAATTATTCCTAACAAAGGATTATTTTTAATTGGAAAATTAACATTTGGCTCTTTTATCAGCACAAAATAAATCAAGAAAAACGCGTTATTAATTGACTTGCTTGTCTAACAACCTCTTGAGGTGGAAAAAGAGTGGCACAATCACGACACGGAAAGTCTGCCGTGGTTGGATAATAGGGCGGTGCGGCTCTCACATTCCTCTTTGCTCATTAGAATACGCCAGGCACTTCACACGTATACGCGTGTTCTTGTTCCTGGCATCTCTTGTGGTAAACATGGCTCATATTCAAAGCCCACCCCTCAAAAATATGAATTGCGTGGTGGCATTTTAAAAATCTGCAAGGTTTGCATAGTTTTTTTATTTATTAAAAACACTAAATTTACTGTTATTATTGAAGACTATAGAAATCCGTACCGTTCCTATAAGTAAATTAATTATTACTAAAAAAAGGTAATGAAAAATGAAATAAAAGCATCATTCAAATTATCTTTAATTTTTTATTAGTATTTAATTCGTTATTTAAATTTTTAACAACATCAACAACAAAATTTACATTATTATTTTTTTAAGCTTTATTTCTCATTAATAGTTAATGATATTTGAAACTTTTCAGTCATGGAATGTTTTGACAACGCGTTGAAATTTTAAGAACAAATAGAACAATGGCCGTGTCAAAAGCTTTCTTCTGATTTTTTTTCACCACTCCCCGGCCGCACTTTCTCAGGACACTTGAAACAAAGAGCCTTTTCGAGTGGCCCTTCAGCTGAAATTGAATTTGCAAATGGTTGCGCGAGACAGCGGAACGCGCTCAATTTGCTTTTCATTTGCGCGTTTTTATCATGATAATGCTGTGCGCGCCCGCGGCCACCCTCTCATTTTATCCTAAAATCAACTGCGCCAGATTTTCGAGTTCCATGAGTAGCTGCCGCGTCAATGCAAATTAAGTGAGTGCCGGTCCGCATTTTTGGCAAAAACGGAGGGACTTAAAGCCAGCTCGTAACAAAGCACAAAGCTCATTGTGTGATGTGCGATTAATTCTGGGTGACAATGGCGCTCTCAAATGAAACCTGGGGATTTGCATTTTAAAAGAGCGCCTCGCCCACACTGCAAAAACATACTTGACCGCACCGTCCATACTCTTATATTAGTACACGCGCTGCAAAAAGTAGGAAGCTCTTCAACCGCTCATAAAACGCCCCACTGGCAAACAAAATTATAATAATTATTTAATTATAGGTATGCTAAATTATTTATTTCTTCGCTAATAATCAGGAAACTCGAAAAGGCGTTTATATTGCGCCAATCAAGGTGTAAATTAAGATTAAAAATGTCGACATAAAAAACCAAAATTAATTCAAAGCTTTAAATGGATTTTTAATAATATTTTCTCTACAACCACGTTAAATTAATTGACGATGTATTAATAACTTGCACTAAAATTTTAAGGAGGTCCCTTAGAATGTCGCACTTTTTGGTGATTTAAAAAATTTGTTTTAAATAATTATTTGTCTTCTCTGTCCAATCTAATTATAAAATACGTTTTGCACGACTTTCAAAAAAATTTCAGTTTAATTTAATGCTTATTAGTTATGAAAAAGTTTTCCTTTTTAGCATAAAAACGCTATGCTAGTCATCGAGCAAAGCCATATTTCTTACAAAATAGGGTCGCAGACTGTGACCAAAACCTGTAGAGCGTTTAAAAAAAAGGAAGTAGAAAGAAACCCAGAATTTTAAACTCATACTCAACTCATAAAGTGCTCAATGTTTCTCTCTTATTTATTTATTATTCTTTATATTTTATTTATTTTCAATATTGCCCATTGATTGCTTCAATCCGAGTTTAAAAAATGAACTTTCTGGATAAGTCCAGTGTTTTCCGAATTATGATTTTAGCGGGTTTGTTCCAGTTCGTGAGTGTTCCACAGCAGCGCGCTCGTCGCGGGTGTATAAAAGCAAAAGTTCGCTCCCCGGCCTCACACTGGATCCCACGGTGCTAAGCGGTATGGATAAGGACGCTTTGAAGAAGCAGATTGAAAACATGAAGTACCAGGCCACGATGGAGCGCTGGCCTCTCAGCAAAAGCATATCCGCGTAAGTAAATCTTGAAATTCCAATGGAAATATGATATGGGGGCTTAGGAAGCCCTAAAAATACGAAAATTGAATGAAAGTGTCTTGGTAGAAATTGCTCTAGTAGACGAATACGAAATTGGCTGATTTTGAGAGAAATTGACCACAATAACCCCTCAAAAAACTTCAATTTTGGGGGTTTTCTTGCACCTGTGGCTAGATGGGTCACTTGACCCCAGGGGATTTGAAATTTTAAAGTTTTTGTTTAAAAAGCAGCGTCGGTCAGTTTGCAGTAATATTGATTTTTCGCAGCGCAGAATCTGCTTCTTCACCTCTAGTTCCGCCTTTAAGCACAAGCTAAAAGCGTCTATTTTATAATTAGGATATCAATTTCGCAATTTCTCATCAACAAGTCTCGTGCAATAATTTGGCAGGGCGAAGTGAAAGGGGCGAATGTCTTATCGATTAGTTTCATATGCCCTGTGGGGGAGGCGCCCTTGCCAACCGACGCAGGCGGTGCAACTTAAAAAAGCGTGTAAATCGAACGCCAGCAAGGCGAAAAGGGGCGGCGCGAAGTCAGTATTTTGTTCTGTATTTCCTCACGAGCCAGGAAATTTAGAGAATTTTATATTTTTGAATCTCTTGTGATAAGAAAAAAACCAACAGCGCTGCGTCGAACCTTGCTTGGCGCCTGCAGAGTTTGAAAGTATGCAACCTGCTCGACTCCAAAGGCGACCTTGTTGCCTACGGAGAAATATTAAAAAGAGGAAAAAAGAAAATATTTTATATGGAAAATAAAAACCAAAATACCTTCTTCATTTTAATCATAATTAATGTATATAAATAGCAATAAAATATTTAACTAGAGATGGAAGTTAATTTAACAAATAATTTTAAGAAAATATTTTGAATTACACACTAGGTAGTGTGTTATTATTTCCTGTTTCAAATTTAAGTTTGATTTTTACTTTTTCCATCCCTAAATAAAAGTATCTAAATTTCCTTGAGAAAATTGAAATTAAAATAAGATAAGTTATAGAGGCAATAATTCATTTAGAAGCCACAAACAACTGATTCTTTATTCTTTTTATCTAGATTAAGTTTTGGGTGTGGCACTGACTGGCATTGTGATTATTTTCAAAGCTGGCCACACTCACGTGAACGGCACTCATAATCTTTATTGAATTTGTGATTAAATTTAATCGATTTAGTTGAAATGGTCGATTAAAAATTAGCAAGAATTGTGAAATTTTATAAATAAGAAATATTTTCTTTTGTTGGCAGGATGCGCGAATATGTCGAGGAAAACGAAAAAAGCGACCCTCTGATCCACGCTCCTGACAAGAAGAACAACCCATGGGCAGAGAAGGGCAAGTGCGTCATCATGTAAACACCTGAAGAGCGTCTCCAGCCCACACGGAAAAATGATTGTAAAAATTCCAAGGATTTGTACTTATTAATATTACTAACTACTAGTCAAACGAAATTTGCTGGATGAAAATTAAATTTGGGGGGACAAGTGGGGCCTCTTGAGAAGAGCAACCCTGAGTTTTGTATGTTTATTGATGTCAGCAGAAAATTTTATGCTGTTGTTGTTCTTGCTTCAGCAAATGTTCGAAGATTATTATTGTGATTTTGCTTGAGGTAGAAAAATATTATTTATTTCAACGATTCGATACTCATACGCTACGAACCAAAAATTAAAACTATTTAAACTCAAACTCTTTTGCGGGAGTTGAAAAGTGCAGGAGCAGCAGCTTACCAATGATCAAATGAAAAATAATTAATTGTGACCGGTAAAATGTAGCCTAGCATTTAAAATCCCAATTTTCTTCTCCACCTGGGGAAACCTGATTGTCAGTTTTAATTAATAAAAAAGACCCTGATTGCTAGACTTGATGCAAAGATTGTAGGAAAACGTGCAATTTTGCAGGATTATTATTATTATTTCTTTTAACTTGATGTTAAAAGTTGCAAACCTTCTGCTTGTCTTTTACATTATGGACCACTGTTTCAATTTTACTGATGTAAGAGCTATTTGTGTCAAAATTGTGACCTACACCGATATGAATAAATTGAATACATCTTAATTAAAATATTACATAATTTGCTTTTTCATTTAAATATTACACAAATCAAAAGCAAATCTTCAATGTAGTAAATGAAAAAATTAATCTGTAATTTGCATAGTTTATTGAAACCATTCATGGTTAGTTTTGCCTGGTACAAATAGTTATGCTTTATAGTTTGATGGTAAATCATCAAGATAAACCAATAGCACCCTTGCAACCCTTTGACACAATCCATCACAATCAAGTTCATATTTGAATGACTTGCAATGGCAAAGACTTAATAATCAAATTACAAAAAATGATCAAAAACCAAAGGCTGGCCCTTTTGAGCGGAATCTGAGGGGCACACCGTGTTGTTTTACATTAATTTGAGAGACACAAAGTTTTTTTAGAATTTATTGCTAGAAAGGCAATTGTTGTGGGAAGGCGACGCGCTGCTTGCGTGACCATATTGTTAATGCACATCGTCTGTTGATATTTTAATGATTAACACACTTAAAATGCTCCCGATTGGTATTCAGCATTATGTAAAATAAAAATGCGTACAAAAAGTTAAATTTCGGTGAATACAAAAATACATTGTGATTAGAGACTGAACAATACTTGGAACATCAATCTGTGTGTGAAAGGCACTGGTTCTGCACACAGAGGACTTGCCTTACTAGCCAGATAATCTTTTGTTCGCTTCAACGGAATTTCTTGGACCCTCAAATGAGGCCATTTAAATGCCAAACGACCAAATACACAATTTTGTTTGCAAATGCAGAGATCTACCAATTAGTCAAACGATTCACAATTAAATGTTAGTAATGTGTGTATGCTCCACATGTTTCTATACATTAAACATATTACACACGTCATAGGATGAATAAAATATTCACTGCTTATTCTAAGAAATTATCAATGCTGGGTTCAGTATGGTTAATATTAAAAATACGAAAATCAGCTTGAGCATTGTAGAAATACTAATAATATTATGGCTGGGCAAAGGGTATAAATCATATATGTGTTTTCGACTTGTAATTGAATCAGGTAATTTTCTTGTACTGAACCCTTCAAAAAGGTAGAACTAAAATATATAGCACATAAGGGTAGCATTGACAACCATAGTTAACCAAAAGTGTTAAGTAGTGGAAGAGTTGCGAGAGGATTGAACTGACTGTGAGATTGGCAGGTCTCACTAAAAGCAAATTAATCTTTCCAATCTTTCTTGATTTCAAAGCTCCATTCCCACTTCAAATGCTCGCTCTTGTCGTCGTCAGTAAAGAGAGATTGAACCGTGTAACTTCCGCGAGCCATCATGCCGGATGGAGCATCTTCGGGTGGGGTAGTGTACGAATGCATTTCCACCTTAGGAGGGTAGCTACCCACCATGTGAGTCATGCGATCCACTAGAATTATCACAATTGTGACCCGATTAACATACTTTGAAATCAGCCATAAAAAGCTTAAAATATATTAAATTCTAGATAGTATCTAAAATCTTACCACATCCTCCATTGAAGCAAATAATCATATTCAATGTTAGGAATGCTTTTACAAAATATAAATAAGTCCTACCTGGAACACCAAGTCGACTGGTCTTTTGGACATACTTCAATCCATGCACGATTTCCCGTTGAACGATGAAGTCGATCCTGATTCTGTACGAAACACCCTCTTTGATGCTAAACGTCTAAACAAGGAAATTTGAAGGAAAATTAATACTACGGATCCGAATAAAATGCTAACCTTTTTCTTGAGCTGGGAGATGTCCCCTGTCAGATCCAAAACCACGTCATCTCTGCCGGCCACAACTAAAGCGAGTTGTTTTACAAGAACCTTACGAGGATCATTCGGTTCTGTTCGAATTTATATCAAAGTCAGTTACGAAAATTAATTTTGTTAATTTAAATCTAATAACACACCAACAATCACAGCTCCAGCAGTGGATTCCCCAAGAAGAGCTTCCTTATACTTCCTCAGACTCTCGTCCTCCTGGTCAGCAGCAAGAATTTCATCAAGTGACTTCTCTGGAGGTGGAACATATTTGCTTTCGACTTCCTCGACCTCCACTAATCCAGGTCCGACTTCAGGCTCTCCAGACATTCTTGGGCTAAAATGTGCCGCAGGAATTATTTAGTTGGCAAATAAATGATAAAATTAAAATAGATAACAATAAAAGCATATAAAACATAAAGAAAATGCGGTGATTCATGGGGCGTTTGATAATGTTTAATACAATAAGCAGAGTACTCAGACTTTTTGTTTTCAGTTAGCAATTATTTTCTCTCGGGAAGTAAATTTAAAAATTAAGTTCGTCAGCAGTGTAAGGAAAAATAATTTTACAATAGATTTGGCTTCCAAGTCTTCATTACAGCCGGCTTTGAATCGCGAACAATCTCTTTGCTAGCTGTTATGAGTGTTGTTTGATTAACGGGTTTTATTATTCGGACAAAAAAAATTTATCTCGGTGCTCATATAACTTTTACCATTCTGAGATTTGAAGAGTATTACATACACGTACTCGAACTGCATTTAAAAATGACAACTGAAAAAAATTACGCTCCATGTATTGAGTATCCTGAACTAAAAAATTAAGCTACAAAAGTAGTCTTCACAAAGTGTCAATAGATTACAGAACCGAATCTAGAGGACTTTCCAGTAAAAATTTACGCTCTTAATTACAAGAGGTCAAGGTCAAGGCAACAAAAATACATTAATTACACTATAGTTTACCTGATTAATTTAGTAACGCAGCGACGAAAAACTGTTATGCCACAGTTAAGTGGTGATAAGTTGCTATAACCGCAATTTCCTTTCCTGCGTTGATCTGGAAAGTGGAGTCCACACCCGCCCATCCAAAAGATAACGAAGTCATGGTGGCCAACCTCCGCCAGATATTCCTACATTAAATGTCCTTCCTAGAACTAAAAATTTTACAATAAATTTAGAATATGTATTTAATCTTCATAAAATGTTTTTATTTACCTGCATGTTATTTTTGAGTGAGAATTTCTATTGATTTCACTTTGAATTTAAATTTTAGATTTAAATTTTTTATAAATAAATAAATTGTATTAACTAACAAACAGACACACTACTGAATTTTAATTAATTAAAAGTGAGATGCTAAATAAATATTTGAAATTTATAAACAGCCTTGGTGTATTTTATTTGGATCACAAGTCTTCTGAAAAATTTACACCTAATAGAGCAAATCGGTTATTTGCATCAAAAGTGTCCATCGGTCCATCAACATCATCTGTCACGACTTCAGGATTGTCCAAATCTTGAGATCTATCAAGAACAGGTTTTCGAACACGATGCTTTTTCTTCTTAGACAGCATTTTTTTTGTATCAGGGGCCAATGAAAGAATATAACCAACAAGGCTCTCGTGTAAGGCAAAGACGGAAGGACTTGAAGAGAGCGATGACTTTACGTAGGCCAAAGGATCTTGTCTGGACTGCAAACTGTTCCCTATGTTGTACATCAAAGTGCCTGCAAAAGACAAAGAAATTTATTATGAGATTTATGAGTAATTAATTTTTATAATAAGATTACCTGAATACAATCTATGCATTGGAGTTGGTGCAAAGGGCATGAGCAAAAGTTGATTTAGTTGGTTCAAGGCCAAAACGACACTCTGCAGCTGTGCTAAACTGTGGACTACTCCAACATCATAACCAGTTCTGACTTTGGAGTTCTTAGAAAATGAGTTAGGGGCATATATATCAGCGAATGCTGATTTGCACTCAGACGTCTCCACATTTTCTAACGTTTCCCTAAAATTAGGCAGTCCCTGCAAAGATTGAGTGGACTGCGCCAGCTGCTGCACTGCTGCATCTCCTTTCTTAAGTGGAAGGACGACCGCCTGTAGGATGACACCAAGGACGACCGAGTGCACCATTCTGTCGGTGACAGGGAAATTGGTTTGAGTTGCCCAGAATATCAAAGCCAAGAAAAAGAGGCGCCACTCTTTTGGTAATATTTTCAAATTGACGTCCACTCTTGCAATTTTTAAAATGAAATTTTCTTTCTCTTGCACTGACATGGAAGGAATGGATTCTAATTGCACCACAGCCTCTGGTGAACAAGTGAGACCGTCCTTGAACAGAAGTTCCTTGACAGGAGAAGTGAATCGTCTTGTCACAAGTTGAACTTCCAGTGCCCTTTCAGGACCAAGAAGTGTAGCCACAATTGATCGAATAATGGGTAAGCTGATGGCACTAGCACTTTCTCGCTCAGAAAAGTCTTCTTTCTATAAAAAATTTTGTATTTTTAAGAAATATTATAAAAAAATTTACCATTAAGCTTTTAGATTATGATTTACCTGTGGTTGCATGATGTAGATTTGAAATGTGTAAAGATCCATGAACGTTGAAGGCATTCTTGCATGCCTGAACGTTTCAACAACAAATTCTGGTATTTTTCCTAGTCTTAGTTGACTTTCCTCAAAGGTTTCGTCGTCAGGTGTCTCATCGTCACTTTCCTCAGAACCCTCACAATCATTTTCTGGTGTGTCTCCGATGTCTGCTTCCTTAGCGATCTCCTCTGCGCATGTTTCATACAATGTTGCCTGCGCATCAGGGCCTTGGCTTCCATTCAGAGATGTGGTCCTGAGTAAATTATATGATCATAAAAGCTGTTCATCAATTGTTTTTAATAAAATGCCTTAAATTGCTTAGGTCCAAATACTGTTTCATGGCAGACGAGGAAACTTGGTATGCTTTCACAGCCCGCTCGATTGCACTTCTTGTGTGATCTCTTTTATCTATTCTAATGAAATGTAGAACCTAAAACAAAAATTCACTTGTCATGGAACAAAGTTTTAACAACTTAAAATAATTATTTCACCTTTGAGATGGCGCTCTCCATAGTCTCTCGACGGAGCCACTGGATGAGTCCAGCAATTTTCTTTTGCTGATAGGAGAGTTTCTTGCTGCTGGGTTTTTTGATTTGATCGAAGAAAGGGTCAAAAAGTTTTCTTTTGACATAGTCATTGCCCAATAGGGTAGCCATCAGAGGTAACATCTCCTGCTGCAGTCCTCCAAAAGTGTCGAGGAATCTCTGCAAAGTATACATTTCACAGTATACGAACGTAGCTGGATGACCATCAATCTTGCCATCTGTGGTTGTGTGTTGAAAGTGGTCAAATGGCAGGTACATCACGTCCAACACAAAAAAGTCAGAGTCCAAACTTAAAACAGGGCAGCAAAGTTCTCTAGCCAAAGAAGCAATCTCCTCATCAGCCTCAAAATCACACTGAGCAAAGGAAACTCCGAGTTCAGCCAAAATTTCTCTGAAAAAAGAAATGATAATTGGTGAGCAAAAAAGTGAAAAAAATCATTATTTGAAAAGTTTACCTAAAGGTTTCTCTCATGAGTAATGGGAAGACATTCTTCCTTGTCTGGTTGACAGGATTAACTTTGCTACAGGCATAAATTTTGCCCTTAAGCCTTTCCCACATCGTAGGCAGTTTCCTTTTCTCGTATCCTCCGTCAAACACAACCAAAGGTTGAACTTTGCATTTAGCAAGACAGTCGAAGAAATTCTTAATGCAGCGATAGTAGCGATCGTAATCTCCTCCGTAGGCTGGGTTGCTCTTGGAAAAGTGAACATAAAGTTGCGAAGCGAGGCTATTGCCGTCCACAATAAGAGTGCAATCGTGTAGACGATGAGATTGCAGGTACAGAGAAGAATCACTGGAAATAAATGTAGCTAGTCCACGGACACCCATCTTCACACAAAAAATTCAATTGATCTGAAAATGCAAGAAAATAAAATTAAAATATGCGAGTGTTATTAATTTGGAAGTGAAAAGGGAAACAAAAAGGACATTATTATTATGCAAAAAAACCTATCGGGCTCAATCCTCAAGCAACACGATCTCTGTCTAAAAAATTTGGAGGGTTCGGGGGCGAGAGGCCTTTGGTCGGTCGCTAGCCGCTTTCTCTCAAAATAATACCAACTAGGATAGGCACAAATAAGAGGACATAATATACGCGCGATAACACCCACACCCACAGTATATTAGCAAAACAAAAAAGGTCACTCTTTAGGCATTATGCCACAACCCCAGTTGCCAAAACTGACTTTTATCCGGATATTATCCTCTCCAGAGAGGGTAATATTCGGATAATTTTTCGATTTTGGCAGCTGGGGAAGGTTCATATCATAATATTATTTTGGGGTATTTTAGTGTTATTTTTTTAATATTTGTATGCAGTTTTCATATTAATCGTATCATACATAAAACATTTACATTTACCAACTTACGTTTAATTTTTCGTATTATGTATTCTTCTTCATTACAGTTGCAGTCAGCAAAATAGTGTAAAGAATAGTGAATTGAATACAAAGTTATAAGAGGAAATTTTAGAATTAGAAGTAAACACTTCTTCAACTTCTTTTTGTTAAAAAAAAAAAACACGAACACGCCTCTTTTTTTACCACGCTACTCGTTTACTGCGCATGCGTTATTTCCAAGGGCGGGGGAAAAATTGCTCATTGCGCTGGCTAAGGCCAAAGTGAATAATTTATTTCATGAAAACTTTTCCATTTATTTTGAGTTATTTGTATAAGAGATCAGAGATCCTTAATGAAGCATTACTATTATTATTTAATTATCTTGCTATTAATTTCATATTATTCAGCACTTCCACAATTTTTTTTTCATCAAAAGAAGATTGATTATTTTGTTTTTAATAAGATCCTTTTTAATCTTAAAACGTTTTTTTTTTTTATTACCTTTTAAAATAAAAAAATACAAGTTTATTATTTGATCAATGTAAAATAAAATGAATTGAATCAATCAGCATTTGCTTTCATTGTGTTCCTGTTGCACAATTGAGAAATTATTTACAAGCATCACGTACTCATTAAGAGGCAGATAACTCTTTTTTTTTCCTGCGGAGCACTTTTAAAAAGGCCAAATGTCAGTTAAGCCTTCTTGAAGAATGAAGAAATAAGAGATTGCCTTTTACTATCAGTTGCGGCTTTGGGAGAAGACGAGGGTGTTGAAGTTTTCCCTCCACCATCTTCACATGACTCTGTATCTAAGCCTTGCTCCTCACTGGTTGCACTTAATTGTGTTTGTTTTGGTTCTGTTGGTTTGTCAACATTTGAGTTTGAGCTGTCAAAGTCTTCAGATTGTATTAGGTCGTGCTCTGATTGCTCTGAAAATGAAAAGTTTATAAATGTTTTGCCATTATTATATAATTATTCACCATTTATGATTCCTTCTGCTTGTTTGGTGACATCCAAATTTAATTGACTTTGGTTTTCACTGTCAGAGGTTTCTTCGTCCGTTTCAGGAATCACACCTTTTCCTCCTAATCTTGAAGTAGCCTCCAGGTGCGACCCAGAATCTACAACAAATAATAAACGTGTTCAATAAAACAGCATCGAGGAAAAATAAAATCTCGTTTCCCTCCCTCCAACCTAGCTAAAATCTATATCAAAATCATCTCTAGAACCTGAAGCATTGAGCCTATTTGCCCCATTTTCTTATCACATAGTTTTTAGTTTTATACAGAAAATCTCTACACAACCCATTTATAACTCTTGCCACGTACCTTCCTTTGGTTTTGTTTTGGGGGAAATTTCATCCTGATAATCTGCATCCTCACTGGTAAACTTTTCTTCCGGCGAATCTAAATTTTTACATTCAAAATTACTTGCTATATAAAAAATTCCAAATTTATTACTTTCTACTGATGGTAAAATAGTTTTGACTGATTCAGACTGGGAAAATTTTCTTTTCAGAAAACTCAGCACATCTCCTTTGCCTGCATTGTGCTCGTAACCAAGAAGTTCTTTATAAACATTTCCTGTGAAAGAGATTTTTTCAAGCATTTATAGAAATTATTGCTTCGCGCATTGAAAACTAACCAACAGTTGCCTTTTTTTCAATAAGCAGCTGATGCACTTCAGTAAGGCGCTCAACCAAACTTTTGTCTCGAAAGGTGAAATAAACTAGGTCCCTTTCACACTCCGAGGCAGCCAGGAGCTGTAGGATAGCTTTAAGTCGAGGGTCTCCCTAAAAATTTGCCATATTTTATTCGCCAAGTCTTATCGTTATAAAAAGTACACACCCCAAAAACTCCACATCCCCAATTGCCACTTGCAACAGGAATTGGCTCAGCATTCGTATGCACTAGGAATCCAGCATAAGCTTTGTTCAACTCTCTGTCCTTGTTTTCTTTTAAATACTGACGACTTTTTTTGCTGTAAAAAGGTATGGCGTCGATGGCAACTACCGAAACACATCTCCGTCCACTATCGTCTCTTGGGGTTTTATCTATGAAACTGCCAGCCCACTCAAACGAGGATCCATACCCTTTGTACTTGTTAAACTGCTCAGCACCTGAATTTTTAGTGTGAATTCTTTTCAGTGGTTGTTAATTCAAAGCATACCACAAATAATTATCGCCTCGTTGCTTTTCATTGCAGTATTGAAGAGACAACCTGCAATTAGTTCTGGGCAAATAGTAAAGCGGATCTCTTCTTGAACACAGCCTTCAGTCAAAACACCTCCTCCCAGGAACCTTTACAATAAAACATACAATGCAAGAAACAATATCACACGGTAAACTAACTTGTTAGCAAAGTCCACCTGCAGCATAAATATTCCATCGTCTTCAATAGTGCCTTCCTTGCTAACATGAAGACGCTTGATTGGCTTGTCAGATTTGTGCCACTTAGGAAAATTTTGGACAGCTTGCCGATGATAAGTGACAACACCTGTTGGAACTGGTCGCATAGGGATTTTAAAATTCTTCTTTTAGTTTAAATTCACAAATAACTCACTTTTCTTTTCCAGATGTATTCTGCGAAAGTAGGTGATGAAGCATTTCAGCTTTTCCATGTTGCATTGCACAAAATTTTTGTCTCTCGACGGGAGATGATACAGCCTAAGTAAATTAATCAAATTTATTATAAACATAGCTTCATACTAGTTTTTTTTTGTCTCACCCCTCAAAATTTATTACAGGCATGTTGCATTTATATCTATCTCTTGGCTTGAATGTGCAGAAGAATGCATTTGCCAAAATGCTCGCCACTTGCATTTGAGTCAAACTGATGGACTGTCCACTTCTCAAAAGGGGAATTGGCTGAGTAATCAGTTTTGGTAGCTTCAGGGCTAATATTTGAATCTTTGGCAAGATGACATCAAAAAACGTTTCAGTTTCATCCTCCACATAACTGCTTTCCCATTTTCCATATAGGAATTGATACAGCAAGTCACACTTAAATTGTTTTTTACTACAAGTGTGGATGGCAGAACGCAAATCATCCCAATTCTTAATCTGCTTGCTTAGGGCTTTTTCAATTCTCTCCCAATGGTCAAGCTATACAATGGAATGTAAACTTTGATTATTCTGAAAATGATTAAAAACCTTTTCGTTTAATTTTCCTTCAGCAGTAAAGCATGGAAGTTCAACAAAGCGCTGTACTGGATGATCAAATGGTGCTGTTCTTGGCTTTGGGGAACAATTATTGTCCCACGGTAATCTACAATTAGGATATTTTATCAATTAAGACAGTCTGTAAACTTATTTCAATAGTTAAGCAAAACCTACTCAAAGAAGACAAAGTGATTTCTGTCATTTACAACAGGAGGCAAAGAAGTTGTTGGTGATTCCGGTATTAAGTCATCTAATGTAAAACTGCCAGGTTCATTCTGAAGTAAAAAACAAGAAATTAATCATTTATAAGTTGACAAATATTGGTAAAATTAAAAATTCAGAATTTATAATTAACAGTTTGCATGTGAATGCCTCAAGCAAAAAATATGCGCTAGGATGAGGCTCTTGGCAAATGTACTTTTTCAGGGGTGCTCATGGAGGAATCCTGTTTTTCAACGCTTGAGGATGAGGATGTTTGTGAAAGTGGGTGGCATTCAGATGTACCGGCAACCTGCATTTGAGGCTCGTCATAAATCTCCTCATTTGGGGTACATGGCACAAAGTCCTCCTCGTCAGGGGCCACCGCATCAACAACATTTGAGCTGCCTAAAATGAATGAAAAGTGAAACAATTACACAGTCGCAAATGTTTTTAGCTATGTATTATGTTTTTTGCATACCATTACTTGAATCATTCTCCATTAATTTCTGCTTCTTCAAAGGCGGTGTACTATCTACTTCCATCTGCTCTGTTTCAACGGAGAACGGAGATTCATAAGTTGAACTCTTCTACGGCTGTTGCAGACAATTGATAATTGCAAAACGCAGATAAGGCAAGGGATGGAAAATGCTAAACCAAAATCACACAGTCGCCGTAAAACCAAACACCAGGAACCAGGTTCCACTAGAATTATTCTCCTGAACGCGACAATATTATTGCTGGAAATCGCTGCCCGGTCTGGTGGTGGGGACACGTACGGACGGAGGGGTATGATGCGACTTGTTTGATTGAGTTGCATTGTTTCCCCTCTCACCGCGCACTGTCTTCCCCCACCATCACACCAATTGACTTTTTGCCGGGCAGCCAAATTCAGCAAAAGTTGTCGCGTTCGTGAGACGAATCGTTCGGCATCGGCAGCTGTTCTGTTCAGCACTGCTGTACCGTAAACAAACATTGCTCAGAAGCTCTGAACTATACTTCTTGCTCTGAACCTGTCTTCCCAGCCTCCCAGGCCTGCCTGTGGTCCAGGAAGGAGTGCGCGCGGTGCCGAATTTCGTTGGGTATATTTTTCCAGTTTCATGTAAATTCGCGAGCACACACACCACCGTCTACCGTCAGAAAAATGTTGAGGAAAAAAGTCACAGTCCGAAAAAGTTGGGATTATGATTTTGGAGCTTTCAAATAGCTCGTTACTTTTTTTCTATATTCCATAAGAAGAAACAATTTTTCCCTATTAATTTTCTAACCCATTTGAAATAAAGGTAACCTAAAATGCCTAAAATGTTTAGAATTTCCTTGTCCTGTGGACCCTGTGGTACATTCATTTTATAATTTATTTCATTGGTTTCAGTCTTTCGTCAAGAGAATGACACGCAGGATGTTGGGAGTACATTCCATAATTATAGATAGTCATATTATCTTAGTGGTTTTCATTCTCAAATTAAGACGACGAGGCTACGGAAAACGATGAACAAAGCCGACATCAAGACCCTGCACAGCAGCAACAACACAGCACTCACCCCAGATGCAAGTCCCACCTGCCAAAAGGCAGAGAACTGAACTGAACATCCCCAAGTTGGGTGCAGAAACCTGTTCCCAGTACATCTGGCCTTCCAGGTACTTATTTAAATTTTATCTACCAGAAGTATGTAATAGTTATGGAAAAAGGTTTAAATTTAAAACTGTTTTATTCAAACCATTTTGTAGCTACTACAGAGACGTTTACCTCTTAATTTCTCCAAATAGATTCTCTCTTTGCAGGGCCGAGCACATCAGCAAGTAGAGCAGTCCAAGAGGCAGGCCCAAGTGGACAGCAGCAAAATGCCCAGTTTACCCATCAAGACTTTTTGCCCACATCCACTCTAATGCACCTAAACAGATACTTTTGGTGCCCACTTCAAGTGGTTTGGGAATCACAGGTATAACTAAACTCAAACTACCGGCGCGGCTGCACGAGCGCGGGACTATCGATCTTGCCGTGGATTAAATTAATTGTTTTTATTTCTTAATTCTGAGAAAATGATTTATGATTTTTGAGCTTTCAAATAAGTTCGTTATTTTTTTGGGGAAAAAATTCACCATTTATTTCAAAAACGTTTCCAAACGCCTACTATTTTTAGAATTTTGACCTTTTTTCGCTCCTGAATTATTTCATTGTTGGAAAATTAGGCCAACAAGAATAAAATATAAAAAAAATTCATGAAATCAAAAAATATTCTTCCCGTTTGAAATAAATGCAAACCTAAGTGATCGTAGATTTAGAATTTCCTTGTCTTGTGGTACATTCATTTTATAATTTATTTCATTCGTTTCAGTCTTTCGGCAAGAGAATGACACACAGGGTGTTGGATTACATCCCAAACAAATAATCATTGTGATTTTCCTCTTCAAAGATGGATGAGGTTGCGGCAAAAGACAAACAGAGTCGACATCAAAACCAAATCAAGACCCTGCACAGTAGCAACAACAGCCAACACAACAGCACTCACCCCAGATGCAAGTCCCACCTGCCAAAAGGCAGAAAACTACACTGAACGCTCCAAGTAGAGTTGCGGAACCTGTTCGCAGTACATCTGGCCTTCCAGGTAAATAGTCAGTTGATGAAAAGTAAAATTTATGAACACAGAGGTTTCAAATTTAAAAGTAATGTTTTATTTATTCCAATTTTTGGCGTCTGTAAAAGACTTCCAACTGTCCATTTCTCTAAATCGACTCTCCTGTGTTCTTTGCAGCGCCGAGCACCTCAGCAAGCAGAGCAGTCCACGAGGCAGGCCTAAGTGGAAACCAGCAAATTGCCAAGTTTTCCGATGAAGACCTTTTCCCCACATCCACTTCAATGCACCTCAACAGATACTTGGTGCCCACTTCAAGTGGTTTATGAATCACAGCTATGTAGCTCTTAAGTCAATTCTTGCAGAGACATTAATTGATAATTTGTTATTAGTGGATCTTTGTCAGCCAGGGCTCCTCTTAGCCTTCACTTATTGTTAACTTTAATTTTCTTTGTCGAAAAAACTACCCAAATCTCCAGAGGTGTATTTGTTATTTACGATTAATAAAAATTGTGCGTCACTCATGTGTTAGTTAGATTTTTTAGTTTCTTTGGGCTTTGACCTCTCCTCTACAGAGAAATAAGCTAAGGACAGTCCAGCAGTGCCATACGGATCCTTGTGTCAATTTTCAGCAGTGTGCATCTGCATCTCAGGATTAAATCAAAGATGGTTTGTCAGCTTGATTCTGATCGAGAACTTCGCACTCAATGAGTTGACCTTGCGCCCTACTCAGCAAAAGGACTGAAGTCCAACACCTCCCAGTTAGTGATATCTTTAGCTTGTCATTTTTTATGTCCATTGGAGCTCATTTGGACATCCCCATGCAACTCAAAAGACAATTTAAAAAAAAAAATGTAGTCATTTGAAAATTTAATCTTGTTTTATTAAAATGACTGTTGATTAAAAATTTTTATGAAACAACAAAATATTCATTGTTTTAATAATAATATATACAGAACTTATTGCTGTAACCCATATCAATTAATACACTTAACAAATTAATATTAAGATCAGCATTGTTTTGTACCACCTGAGAAAATCGATGCTAGTGATAATGCAACCGAAAAACTTGAGATTGTTGTAACGTCGAGTGTATGGCATTATGAGCTCTTAAAAAAGTTTTTGGAGAATGCTTTTTGGATATCTTTACTTTAAATAAGAAAAGCAAACAAAGTAAATTAATATTTATGCAAATACAATTGTTATAATTTTCACCATTTCCATGTTTTGAATTTTGGTCAACATTATTATATTAATAACAAAAACACACTTTACTTTTCAATATTTCATTTTCATTTAAAATTACAATTCTTTATGTTTCTTATCTGCTCAGAGGCAGCTTTTATTTTGGCAAATATATAAAAATTGTAGTTTTCATTAAATTAAACAGTACCCTCAAGGCAGGTCTGCTTGACTCCCTTCTGGTCAAGTAATCGACACTGAGCTGAACACATCCTCAGTCTCTATTTTGGGATATTGTCCTGGAACTTGTAGCCCTTTGATGTGTACTCTCTCTCAGTAAACCCTGGATGCATTTTTTGTCTTCGTTTATGTTCAACGTGTGGCGCCTAATGAACAAAATGGTTTTGATGAAGCAAACAAACGTTAACAAAAAATATATCTTCAATTACCCTTCAGGTCTTTTGGCCATTGAAGTTCTGGCAATGGTGCACAGATCAGACAGCAGCCTCTCCGCCCTTGTAAATCCAAGGATCTGGCCTCCAGTTTCAACCGAGTAGTTGATGGCGGCCGGCCTCTATAAATGTTTAAAATTAAGAACAGTCATTCATCACAGTAACTTTTTAAAGACCAATTATGGCGTATGAAACTCGACGATCAAAAGCAGGCTTTCCATCGGCACGATCAGGGTACGTTGATGAGGCTAATTCAGTGCTGCCGAAAGTGAGGCAAGCAAGTCCTTTGAGGATCATAGCAGGACTTTTGATGACGAGTGGGAATTTAAAAATCATCTTCTCCAGTTTGTTTGTTTCAATCATGACAAACTTGGTCTGAAACACAGGGAAAAAATTTAATATGTTTCATACAATACCAATTAAATTTGTTTACCCAAGTTTTGTACTCATATCTAAGAATTAGTAGACAGGCTGGCAAGGGTCTGGCTTTGTCTTGAGCTCCCTCATGAGTTTTTCCTGTGAAGCATAACGCACATGAATTAGTGTGGTCAAATTCTATAGAAACAATTAAAAGAACGAGGTTGCTCAAGAATTTCCTCTAGGTGCGGTCAGGTGCGGTCATGCTTTTTGAGCGCAATGTGGCTGCACATCTGGGCTCATAATTTGTTTTGATTAATTGTTGATGATATTAAAATAAGAAACAGACAAGACTTTCTTTTAAGGTCATTTAAATAGGCAAAAAATGAAGTTTTTAATTGTTAAATTTAATTATTAGCTTTACCAAAAGGCCTTGTTTGTGCAAATTAACAAAACTTAAATTACCTGCCAAGGTGATTTGGGCAGCCGCCGCACGACCAATCAGCTTTTGACCCTCATCATCCTCGTTGTCATCTTCAAAATAGTCATCCTCTTCATTGAGACGATCCTCTTTGCTTTCCGCGCACCCCTCATCAGTAAATTTGGCAGCCACTAACGCATTGATCAAAATATCCTCATATGCGTCTACATGATCAATGCAGCCATAAGCATTTTGACCTGTAAAAGACCATATATAACAATCACTAGATAAATCCTTTAAATTGGTAATTATTTAAACCTGCTGAGTACTGCATGCTAGACGAGCTGCAGCTTGCGCCAAAATCAGAACTTGAGCTGGTTCCAGCACAGCATAAATCTGATGTCTCTTTCTCCAAATTAGCAGCTTCGGCAAGCATTTTCTCGGCGTCTGCTTTCAATTTGCTGGCCAAGTGTTTTCTTTCAAGAACTTCCTGCTGCTTCCTATATTGCAATAAAGGTGAGTAACATTTTGCGTCAAATCTGTTGTATTATATTTACAAAAATTCTGCCTTCATTTCAGGAGTCAAAACTCGTGTTGCAGCTTGACTGCAGCTCGCACCCTTCTTGGTAACCCGCGTTATCAGGTTTTAGGTCTGACACAATAATTAGTTTTTGTAAAAAGATGTCATATTTATGTTCATAGTTATAATTATAAGAAAATCCTTTTTTTAATCATAGATCAATGCATTCATACTGAAACTTAATATCCTCAAATCTTTCATTTATTCAACAAACTTGAGAAACAAATTTGATTTCTTTTGATTCGTCGTCATCTCATCGAAATCTTTTTGAAAATTCATTACCAAAATGGTTTCTGTTGGTCCGTTTTTCCGTGTTTCTTGCTGTTCATGACGTAAAAAAAATTAATTAAAAGAAGTTATACGTAGAGTAGTTGTAAAAAACAAAGAAAAAGATAAAGTTTTGAAAGTAATCAAAGATATTTTACAGTATTTATTTTTCTTAACCAGTTGAATGAAAAAAGATTTCCAAAAATCAGGTCATTGTCATGACCAGGCCTGGCAAGGTCGGTTGTGTAGGTGATTTGTTCCGGCGGGGAGTTGTTCCGAAGAAAAAAGGTGAGTTGATCCAGGCGGGAATAATTATATGCATGCCAATATAATAAGTAAAAGAACCTGGGCATATTGTACCAGTTCTTCCGGCTTCATCAAAACAAGGAGATTTTGCAAAAAAATAAAAAAATCATAACAAGCACCATATTATCAAACAAATAAAGTTGAACTTTTTCATGATATAAATTTATATATTAAAATGAACAATTTAACATGAAACTCTTAAAAATCAACGCAGTGAGGAAGTTGAAGTAAAAGATTGACGCTATAGAAATGGTAAATTACGAAAAAGATAAAAAAAACTGGTCGATTTGAATCTACGGTATAGTAAATAAATAGTAAATCTTTGTATACGAAAACTTGAAACGTTTAAATAATTATTTAACATTCTGCTTTTATATTTCAAGGTTATTTATTTTATAATTCTTAATAAATTATTTAAGTGCTTTTTAAATTTTTTAATGATTAATTACTGTTCAAACATTTTCATTACAACTAATTTTACAAAGTTTGAGATTTTTCATATTTATATTAATGTTTTTCTTTTATTACTTTAGAAATATTAATGTATTTCCAAACTCCATAATATTTTTTAATGACATGACTTTTCAGACTCAGAATTATCTCACTGCTAAAAAAATTACTTAAAATAATTAATAAAATTAGATATTAAATATATCCAACATCCGACAAAATTTACCTGATGCAGGTAAAGATAATGCGCAAATCCCTTAGCTATGTCTACTCTCTTCTTGTGATTGGCCGGAATAACTCTCCGTTTTAAATAGAATAACTCACCATATACCGGCAAGGTCTGCCCCTGGAAATTACTCGGCCGCGATGTGCGGAATGCCAATTTATGTGAACAAAAAAGTACTACACGGTATCAGAATTGACTGTTGTTCAATTGAGTCGGAACTTGTTGGGACCGCGTTAACATTGTAGAATATTGTGTGCATGATCGAAGCAAAAAGGTAATAAAATGTCAAAATTGTAAAGCACGTACGCCAATAATTTTACGAATTTTACCCAAACGTCGCTCCCCAAGTGTCTGCGATTCCATTCATTCTCAAGAACTTTGCACTTTTTAACATTTTGATCGCATTTACACGCAATTTTCTTGATAAAATATTTATTTCGTATTAATTCCTGTATAAAATTTATAAACGTTTACCGCAGAAACAAATATAAATTGTAATTGTCCACATTTTTTAACAAAAATATTAATAATTTCCTAAACATTCCAGACTGATTCTAGGAATATTTATTTGTATATAACAATAATACTCGCCTAATTTAATCGCAGACCCATGTTCGTCTTCCAGCTGGGTTATGATGAACGCTGGGACTGGCTTCTGGCCGCGTATGAGGGATACTATTTGGACGTGCATACCATCTTCCAGTACGCGCCCAGCACTGAACTTGGGGTGCACAATCTGGTGGCCCAAAACTTCTCTCGGCTCTTTTTCTCCGTCGGCTTCGATGAGATATCGTTTAGCGGCCATCTTTCTCGAGGAGCTAGACGTGTGTGGCAGTTGCGGGACACGTGCGGCCGACTACTGCAGGTGCAGGATATGAAGTGATGAACCTGACACCTGACAATGTGACAATAAATGAGTCGACCTGCGCGATTGGATTTGTTTGGTAAGCAGGGGGGGGGGGTAAGAAGTTGAATCTAAAGAATACGACGAGTAAAGGCGGAGCCTCCCTATCCCCACCATGTTGAGCTGGTACCATGTGAACAAAATAAGCTGGCACCCCAAGACCCGCCCTTGTTCGCATTCTATACTATGTCTATGTAGAACGAGTGTGGCTCCGCTTTCCCTATTGGCAGGTTCAAAGGTCGCGCGCGGGAATACTGCGTGCTCCACCGTGGCCAGGGATGATATTTATAAAAATATTAAAAATGTTCCATCGCGTGACCTTTCAATGGGGAGAGAGCGATCGGTCTTTTCCGTTTCCGTAAATTTAATTCTAACTTCTCCAAATGTTTAAAATTAATATTGTATCCGTCAAAACCAGTTCAAATAAACAGGCTTAAAATGTAAGATGCTTCATGAGCATAATTTTGGAGATATATTATAAGTAATCAGAAATAATAATAATAAAAAAAATTGCAAATGTACATATAGAATTGAATTCAATGAAAATTATATATGTGTTCTAAAATTCATTATTATAAAAAAAAAACAATTCCAAAAATAATTTTTGTATAATTATTGATTGTCTAGCATTGTAAAATTGCTAATTACATTGGTAATTGTTAATTAAAGCCTAAATTGTATTTACAAGCATATGATAACTTAAATGAATTTCTCGCGCTAGTTATTCTCTCGACGGGCCCCCGCTTCGATCTCAACACAGAGCCACAATGACTGGAATGAGTTTTACTCCATTAGGTGGGGGGTATGAAAATTTGAGATTAATAATATGCTAGAGGTGGAGACCAACTTGATGTGCAGGTAAAAAGATTGCACATTTCATATTGACCGTGAGACTGTCCAGTCCAGAAGAACCGACTTGAGGACTATTCATTAAATGTGTATACAAAACACAGCAGTGAATTAATAACATAAGGTAAGGAACTTAAAAATAATTGAATTTATTGATCTTATAAACTTTTTTGCTTTTCAAAATCAAAATTCATTATTTTAAAATTCATTTTCATTGCTCATCGAGCTAAATTGATAATTTGTCAAAATTGAATACTAACACTCGAGGTTGATTTTACAAAACATTGATTTTTTTTACGATTTTAATCAAATTGATTTCATATCGTGTGAGGCGTTATTTCACGTATACTCAACTTCTTTACTTCTAAGAAATAATTAACAAGCTTCATTTAGCTATGATTTGATTGAGATTTTGAGCCCAAAAGTTATAATTTATTTAAACTAAATTAATTGCATTTATATTCCAGGATTATTACATAATAATATGTAGTTAACAAAACCCTATAAAATATAAATTATAATTCAATACAATTTGTTCCTATCACGAGTGGAGAGCGGGTGTGAAATATTCAAATTTTTAGTGATTTCATTTTAATTATTTTGCGTTTAGTCATAAACAAAATCGTGGAAATACTTGAAATATTAATCTAGTATTGTGCATGATCATTGATTTGACCAAGTCAGTCACAAGTCACATGCAGTGCAGCGCAAAATTTTGACACATCCTTGGATTTGTTAAAAATGTCTATTTTGTAAGCAACGGATATCCCAATAAGAAAAATGTAAAATTGTACAATGTGCTGTGCTCTTTGGAATACTAATATTAATTAAAAGATTAAATTAATCGCATGCAAATTTATTTATTATTTAATTTATTTGTTACAATAATTTTTTTAATATTCTCAGCCACGAAGAAATCACCAAAATGCAAAAAAAAATAGCTAATTCCCAAAAAAATTACCTCAGCATAAAAAAATTTGCCTACAATTCAAACCAAATTAATTCTCATCTTGCATCTTTAAAATTGTAACCATATTAAAAAAAGCCAGAATGAGATACATGACAATGCAAAATTGTGAAAATTTTTTGTAGCTACGTCAATTAAAAAAAAGGTGGAATAAGAAAGAAAATGATCTACAGAGTCATACGTCATTAAGACAATAACTAGAGCTGCAGATCCTATCTTGATTGTGTGTATTGCACTTGTCAACCTTGCACGTACGTCGGCCAACAAGTAATGTGCGTTGGCTGTGTTTTCTGAAGTATAAGAGGTAAAAAAATCATTACCGAAGGTTCTTGAATAGCACTATGCAATTTTTGAAGAGTAAAAAATGAAATTTTCCTTGCTCGATCAAGGATACACATGTGGTATTTTTTTGTTGTTGATCATTTTCTAAATTACTCTACAAAGGCGGATCAAACACCAGAGCATACCAGAATTAGTGAGAGTAAAAAATTGTGGTTTCCATCGTCAGTGTGTCTCAATAAGCAATTTTTTGTTTACATTGAGGAAGGCAGACTAATATTTTTAGTGCTGCCGATTTCTTTTTATTTATCAAAGTGCGATTGTCATAAATATATTATTATTAATTTTATTTTTGATTCTTCACAACATGCAATAGTAAAGAAATACAAAAAAAAGTGAACAAAACTGGCAAATAAGTGAAACAAAAAATGTTGGAGTATCAAAAGAGGATTATAATTTTTAATAAATCAAATAAAAAAATATTAAATGATCAAATGAGTTGTAGTTTTGCCAAAACCATAAAAATTTATTGCAACGGCTGTGAGAAATCAAAATATTTAGATGGTTATCGTTAAAAATTAAACCGATTAAATCTAGAATTTTCATGCATTTTGCGTTTAATACGGACGCGTTTAGCGGCGCGTGAATATTCTGGAACTATTATTGAACGCAAAGCGAGTGTCCAGAGGACAAACTCATTATAAAAATTACAATAATGAAAGGTATCATTTAGATGTACGCGCTCTTTTGCGTTTTATCATTTCCATTCTTTACTTCCTTATTCGCACCACTCGCCATTGATTGAATCTGTTTATAACAAAAGAAAGAGTAGACAAAAAAAAAAAAAATTTGAAACCATTTTATGGCTGGTCATAATCTTTTGTTTCCTTTCAAATGCTGAAAAAATGAAGCAAACAAAAAAATAGTACATTGTATAACAAGTACGATAAAATTCAAATTTAATTTTTAAGCAATGTCACCTCGTACGTCAAGCTTTCCTGGGCTTTGGAAATACCCAACGAACAGGGATGCATGGACAAAATCAGCGCTCAAATGGATCGAGGGGCGCCGCCTTGATGACGGAGCTGAGGGACTTTGGCGAATCCAAGACCACCTTTATGATTTCACATCATTCATCGAGATGCATCCTGGAGGCCCCGAATGGTTACTTCTCACAAAGGTTTCAATCTTACATGAAGTTATCGTGAAAAAATGTTTATTTTTTAGTTAAAAATTTTTGTTCGTGCGATATTAATAAAAAAAAATTTAGGGCACTGACATTACAGAAGCTTTTGAGGTTCATCACTTAACCAGCGCACCAAAAGCTATGCTAGAAAAATACAAAATCAGACCAGCTCTAACTTTGAGGTTTATACATGATATATTTCCTATTTTTTTTTTTTAAAGATAATTATATTATGTAAAGAAATTCGCCGTACACCTTCCACAAGGATGGATTTTACAACAGAATGAAATCTACAATATTGCGCGAATTTCCTGTTGATCAACTGAGAGGGTCGACAAATTTCTCTAAATCAGTTACGGACGTCGTTGCCGCCACGTTCTTTGCCCTCTCTTTGCTCAGCGCCCACCTACAGAGTTATCTACTCGCGCTTTTATCTGGATTCTTTCTTGCAATGACCGTCAGTAAGAAATTTGCCTTTTTGGATATTTTCGGAATTTGGATTGGTTTATATTTCTAATGAATTCAGGTGCAGCGCACAATTTCGTCCACATGCGTGACACCGAGTGGCGCAGATTTTACGTCAGCCTCAGCATGCTCTCAGCAAAGCATTTCCGCGTTTATCACACCCTGAGCCACCACCTGTACCCAAACAGCGTCCTAGACTTGGAGGTGTCGCTTTTGGAGCCGTGGCTGCCATGGTTGCCGCGGCAGGACAAAACTTTCTGGTCGCGGTATGTGACGTGGGTCATCACCCCCATTGTGTATGCAGTTGTCTTTCCCTTGGAATACGCTCGACGAATTTGTGGCAACGGACCTGACCTCAAGAATGATCTAATTCCCCTCACCGTTCCCATTTTAATGTCATTGCTTGGACCTTCCTGGCATTTGTGGCCAATCATAATTGTAAGTAAAAATAGTCAAATTTGAAAACGTGATTAAAATTATACAAATGAAAATAATATATTATAACATATTTTATAACCTTTCATACTTTTTCACAGATCAGAGTTGCAAAGCATATTTATTTAATAAAAACCATAAAAACTGCGCGAAGATATTGTTTTGAAAAAAATAATGCATAATTACAAATAGAAAACTTTTAACTTGAATATAAAATGAAGAGTTCAGGCTTTTCCTTGTTGCGAAAATTGTTTTTATTGAAAAACAAACGGCTCTACCAGTTTCGGTCACGGTCTGCGACCTTATTTCATGAGCAAGGAAAATAAAAAATCTGCAAAATTGAAAAAAAAAAAACACATTTTAACATAAAAGTTGAAATCTCATAACTAACAAATTAATCTAATTTTCAATTAAAATGTGATGTTTAGTTTCAATTTTGCTAAATTTTTTATTTTTCTTGCTCGTGAAATAGGGTCAGACTGAAACTGGTAGAGCCATTTGTTTTTGAATAAAAAGCATTTTCGCAAAGAGGAAAAGGCTGATCTCTTCATTTCCACGATCATCTCCTCGAGTGGGTTAAGTGTCAATTTCTTCAAACAAATTTAATATAAAATTATTTTTCACGGCTTATTGACACACTCAAACTTTGATTTTCTTAAATTTACAAAAATATTAATTATGGTTGTAAGTATATAACAATAAGCGCCTGAATAAATATAAATACATCTAAAATTATTTAATTTTTTTTTCATTAATTGCAAAAAAAATTATCATAATATTTTGCTCCTATATTGCATCAATTTATTTTCAAAACGACTTGAAAAAAAAATACTTTAAAGAATGAATAATGTTTTTTATCACGATATAATTTGTTGAAAACTCATTTGAGTAAACTTTCAACTTATATCTCCGAAAGATTCACAATTCATTTTATCAGTGTGCGCGATACTTTTAAAGAATATTCTCAATACAAAAAAAAAAAAACTGGAAACAAAAGTAAATAATTTTAAAGCGTGTCCGAAAAATGGTATGATTTTTTTACTCCGTAATATTATGATAAAAAAATAATTTTTTTTTAACTGGAGGATAATTAATGAGAAAAAGTTCAATGATATAATAATATTGGTTTCAGTTAACTTCCAGTTTCACATTTTCACTAACGAGCATAAACGCTGGTCACCACCACCCCGAGGTAGTGCACGACGGTGATTCTGTTCGCGGCGACCGCGACTGGGGCTTGGCGCAAGTGGACTGTGTCATTGACCGCGGTGACCTGGCCGGGGTCAGGGTGACTCCGGAGGGCCAAATTCGCAGCTCGCCCAGTTGGATGCACTCCGTACTGGTGCTGTGCAATTTCGGCCACCACACTTTGCACCACCTCTTCCCAACAATCGACCACTATCGTCTGAGGAAACTGTATCCCCAGCTGGAGAGGACCATGGCGGAATTCGGCATCAGGTTTAGAACAAGCGGTGCCGTGGACTTGGTCGGTTCACAGTTTTTGCAGCTTGCCAGGAACAAGCCCAATCTTATTCCGCCTGACCAGAGAGATCAACGCGCATGAGAAGACACACATATTTTATAAAAAAAATAAAAAATAATAAGTAGTGTATTTTTAGTATCTAATGTAGTGTGTCATGATGACATGCCATTTGAGGTTTTTTCTCTCGAAACATTTTTCTGACACACAAGAGAGCTTATAATTTTCTTTAAAATTCAATTTTATGTGTTTGAATACTTTGAATTAATTAATTACATAATTTTTCAAAAATGATAAAAATAATTTGGTCATACATGTTAAATCCAAATAAAAATAAATTTAAACTTCAAAAATAAATACTCCATGTGATACAATTAAAAACAGCATGCAAACCTTGTTCTCAAATTTCTGCAATATAATTAATTATAGAATAATAACATTTAATTAATTGGATCAGGTACTTTACTTTTACCTGCTTTTACCAATCTGCTTCCGCACACACACTGGACAAATTTCTCGGACCATCTGCAATCAAAGAAACAATTTTGTAATTTTATATAAATTTGAGGAACCCTGAAAATGTACTTTGCAATAATAGCTAGGTGCTCATGCACAGTGCTTTTTTTATTTTATTTAAATAAATAATTTAAGCCAATATGATATCTAGAAATTGTAATAACTTGCTTAAAATAAACATAAATTAATACATTTTTTCATAAGAAATTTAAAAAAAAGAACTCTATAATAATTATTTTATGTTCTTTATATTTTTATCTATTGTCTTTTGAAGAATATAATGCTAATGTATTTTATTTATAAATTAATTTAAACCTTCCACGTTAAAAAAATATGCAGGGTAAAAATTTTCTTGATAAATAGATAGTTTTCATTTTATTGTTAATGGCAATAGTCCCAAAATAAAATTTTCGGATTCTGGGAAATTTTTAATAATAATAAAAACAATATGCATAATTACATTGGACAATGGCGTTTTGTAATTATCGTAATAATTGTTATTTGTTAATTCCATAATCATTCTGCTAAAACCGTCGCGTTTTTCTCCATCTTCTGATGCACATTCACAATCACTGCGCGACAATCGTAATCGCCACTGATCATCACAACCGCACTAAATTCCTGCCATTCCTGCATATCATCCACGGACACGCAAGAAAAATCCAAAAATTGTCACTTATGTATGTGCATAGCCCACACACATTCACAACATAACAAAAAAGAATCCAATCAATCCAAGACACAATCCACGCAACGCAAGGACCACAGGCATTCTTTCTTTTCTTGCCTTTTGTCGTCCCCATTCCTTTCCTTACACTCGATCACTCACTCACATTGTCAGTAAACGTATTGACAAGTTCGTACTTGCAAAAGCTGTTACACTTCTTCCTTGCACTTGCCTGCGCTGCCGCGCTTTCAAGAATTTATCCTCATAATATTGCGCATGACATTTTTAGATGAAAACTTGCAGAGGCCACCGGCAGGCGGCAGGCAACCCCATGAAACAAGCCATGAAACATGAAGACAAAAATAAAACAATAACAAAATAACGCGCCTTCAGTTCAGTCCAGGTCCAGTCTGTCCTCCACAGTCCTCCTTAAGTAAGCTTTAAAAGTAGATTCAAGTAGATTTAATTACGAAATGAAGGGTAAAAAATGCTTAAAAGAATTAGAGACAGAGAGCACACTATTTTCTATTCTCAAAGAAAATATTTGTGTTAGTTTTTCATCAAATTTTTTAATTTGAGCTTTGTTAAGAAAGTATGTAACAAATTAATTTACAAAAAACTACGTTATATATTTTTTACATTATATTAAAATAAAAATTTATTACAGATTGCATGGAATTGATAGAAATCGACTTGAAATGGAGGAACTCCAAGCAGCAACAATTGGATCAAATCCCGAAAGCAGAAACTAGTATTCGGAAAGTCAGCGGAGAAATTTCCTATGTAGATTTCTTCAATGAATTTATGCAACCAAATATTCCTTGCATCTTCAAGTCTGAGATTGTTGATAAGTGGCGGAGCAAGACTGATTGGGTCGACGACCGAGGGAAACCGAATTTTGATTTTTTGGCAAAAACCTTTGGTAAATATTTTTTCACCTTTCACCTGCATTAACTTTGAATTGAGAAAAAAAACTAAATAATATTAATTTCAGGTGATTCTGTGGCTCCAGTTGCAAATTGCAGCCAGCAGTATTTTAATGCTCAGAAGAAAGATGACATGAGAGTAAACAAGTTCATCGAATATTGGAAAAAATATATTCAAGACGGGTACCCAACAAGTGAACAGTGTCTCTATCTGAAAGTGAGAAACGCTCTCAAAACAATTTTGTATTTTTTTTTAAATTCACATAATTGAAAATATTTTTATTTAAATCTGAAATTTCTTTTAAAAAACTATGAAATATTTCAGGATTGGCATTTCAGCAGAAATTTTCCAGAATATGATGCGTATAAGTGTCCAGAAATTTTTAGTTCAGACTGGCTGAATGAATATTGGTCTGCCAAAGGTGGTGATGACTATAAGTTTGTTTATATGGGTCCGAAGGGGTCTTGGTAAATATTAATGATTATTTTTCTATAATGATATTTATAAGTTCCAACAAAATTTAGGACTCCCTTGCATGTGGACGTTTTTACATCATTCAGTTGGTCGGCTAACGTCTGCGGACAGAAAAGGTGGATTCTGTTTCCTCCAGGAACGGAGAAAAAATTAAAAAACAAGCTGGGAGATTTGCCGAACCAACGAGAGCTAAGTGACGATCTTTTGAAAGAAGGCATTGTTGCTGACCAGTTTGCTGGAGAGACTATTTTTGTTCCAAGTGGTTGGCATCATCAGGTCTGGAATGTTGTAAGTTAGTTTTTTATCGAGTAAAATATATATAGTTGTTTGAACCGCAATTATTACTTAATTTACTAGGAGGACACCATTTCAATAAACCACAATTGGCTGAATGGTTGTTGTGTACGCAATTCATGGCTGAGTCTTGAGCAGGGTCTTAAGTCCGTAGAGAAAGAACTGGCTGATTGTTCGGATATGGATGCTTGGAGTGAACAATGTCAATTAGTATTGAAAGCAGTTGCTGGCATTGACTTTAAAGAGTTTTTAGATTTTCTTCTTTTTATTGCTAGGCAAAGGTAAGTTTTTTCGCATCAAAAATGAACTTTCTAACTCATAATTTATGATTAGGATAATTTGCCTAGATGGGGAGTCTCCCTTGTCTGCAGGAAACACGTTACTGGGGAAGGAACATGCATACTTTGATCTTTCAAAAATTGTTGATGTTCTCGAGTTATTTTACAAAATTACACCTAACCCTGACTGTGATAATGGTTTACAACTTATTAAAGAAGTTCTCGGCAAGTACCCATCTAGTTAAAATTAATCCATTTTAATTTATATTTACAAGCAACCTTGTAGTAAGATGGATAGTTCCACAGACTTAACAGCAATAATTAGTCTGTAAATCGCTGTAAATATAGGTTATGTCAATTAAGAAATGGAAAGATGAAGTTAAGTTAGTTTGTGAATTGGTACATTCATTTATTTATATCATAAATATTTACAAGTTGACCAGCAATTTTTAAATCTAAACAAAATAATTAGCTGTTGCGTATTTCATCTAGCTTTGAAAATATTGCCAAATTTCAGTTGATTAACTGCTCACTTAGATTTTTGCGGTCCCATACAATTGCCATCGGGGTATCTTTCGTAGAAGGACTTTTTCAGTGGTGGATCAACAAGCTTGACACCATTCAATTGGTTTCCAAGAGTAATCCTGTTAAAAACAATCATAATTCATTGGACGTATTCGACGTATTGTGAAAAGAATTTTAAAATACCAATTAGGCTGGACGTTGTGAGGCCTCCCAAAGAGCTCTATTTTTCTTGTACCGGGGGAAAGTCTCTCGATGATGCCGTAAATTTCATCGGGCTTATGACTAGTGGCACGCACTTCTGCCACAATGACATCACTGTCCAGACCCCTATTTAAATTTGGAGGATTTCCCTTCATTCCGACAAGGCAGTGCTCTTTCCCATGGTTCAGCCAGTGGCCCGTCCGACCCGTCCTTATTATTCTTTGCAGCTGATTGGTCTTGACCCAGATGATTTCGTCGACTCTCTCATAACCCCATAACTTAAGACAGTCTCTTCCAAGTTCCATTGCTCTGTGATGATTTAAAAATAATGTCCTCCGGGTTTTAAAACTATATTTGTATTTGTACCTGCCAGTGACCCAAAGAAAAATAAGGCCTTCATCCTGAAGGAGTGGAATGCCTAGCTGTCTCATTTCATCGTCGGACATTGTGCCGTAGGGCAGTTCCATGTGAATGTCCCAAGGAGGATCGGCCATGATCACGGCAAACTTCCCTAAAAGGGTGATGTCCAAATATCTCAAGTCGCACTGAATCCACTGTGCAGGAAAGAGTGTAGTTGCAGATTCTCTCACTGGCAACATCGAAATGTCCTCCTGACCAGCATCTTTTTTGCTATTTATCTCCCCGTCAACTTCGTAGTGGACATACCTAAAAATATTGATTTACCGTGGTATCATGAACCTAGTAAAAAGTAACCTTACTTGCAAGTGTCCATATGAAAGCAGGTGTTCAAGAATGAGCAATCCCCCAAGACCTCGTCAGTGTGCTTTTGCAATATTTTTTTGAAGTGCAGCTTCAAACAAGTTTGGTTGCCAGTAACTTTGGCACATTCGGCCTTGGTACCATGTGGGCAGAACTCTTTAACTTGTGCGCCTGTTGGAAAAATATTATTTATACAATTAGAATTACTCTTAAATATTAGCAGACTCACCACCCTGTGACTTAAACTTCTCTGCCATGGAGCGCTCTTTGGCTGTCGATTTGCTGAGTAAATCAAAAATTTCCTCACCGACCTTCTTACTTTCTTGCTCTTTGATAGACGGCATTGACAAAAGCGACTGAAATAGAATAGATGAATTTGCTTTTTAGGAAAAATATCAAGATTTTTTTTTACCATAATGTCATTATCATTGGGAGGCTTTTTGGATCTTTTGTCCTCCTTTTCTTTACTGTCATCTAAAAGTTCCTGGACGGGCTCCACGACATCTTTGATTTTTCTCTTTCTGGACTTGTGCTCATTCGTCATTGCCAAGAGTTTTGCGTGCTCAACGGATACCAGTTGGAAAATCACAGTGTTTTCTTTTTTGGTTTCATTAATGCTGCAACATATTATTTGGTTGAATTTTAAAATTGATTAGACTCCAAATAAAAATACCTGATGAGATTTTGTGCAGCAAACTTTTGCAGCAGATTTGAAATAACCTCAAGTGTAACCTTCTTGGACAAATTTTGGCTAATTGTTTGGGCGATCTGGTCATGGTTCACCGGGAGTTGTATCGCTACATCACTTAAGTAGCTCAAGAGGTTATCCTCAACCACTGAGTCAGTCTTCAAAGCATCATCCACTTCAGAGGAGCTTGTTGCGCATTTTTCAGCTTTTTCTGCCGGCTGCTTTTCATCTGCATACATAATATTGTACATAATTATTAAAATGTCAAAAATTTAGGAGAAAAAAGAATAAATTTGTGATCTTCTCATCTTTATGAAAATAAATAAGATAAATTTTTACCAAATGATATCGATGAATTTAGAATATTCTGCATCTCCTTCTTCCTCTTTTGCAATTTTTCACGGAGATTCATCCTCTTGTTTTTGATGGCTTGAATTTCTTCCCAAGCGTCCGACATCGTGAAATTGTCTGCAATTTAAAATTAAATATTTTCGTTCTACATAAATCCAAAGATTTAACAAGCTATAAACTTCTTACTTCCAGCAACAAGCAAGTCTGAACTCTGAGTCTGTCTGAACCTCTAATATGCGGCGTTTTAAATGGATTCCGCAAATCCGCACTAAAACTTTTTAATGTTTATGTTTTGTTTCTATTTTGTTGGTATAATGCAAAATTGCAATGGCTCATTTTCTTAGGTTGCAGAACTGTTTCGGGCAACATGGCACCGGCGCTTTTCCGCTTCCGCCGCTATTAGCATCAATTTTGGTTACCCGTGGCACACGTGCGCCAGTTTTGCTGCCTGGTTCAGCACTGATCCTACTCGATTATCTCGACCGGGCAAATTTCTAACACCATGGTGAGAATCAGAAATAGCTATCAAAGAATTATATTTGATTTTGGAATTCGATTTCCCTCTCTTTTAGATAAAAAAAACCTTTTTATAATAGAGAGCAACCATGCTTATTTTTTGCCGATTGCGATTAACAAACATGCCCTTAGCGGCTACATTCTCTAATTTTTTTTTAGTTTGTTATTATTTTGCGAGAACGCTCATTTTCTTTGCTTTCAGTCTTACGCGAAGGGAGGTGACTCTGAAAAACCAACTGCGACCGAGACCGCGACCATCCATCGCATCCGCATCACTCTGACCTCTAGGAACGTCAGGAGCCTGGAGAAAGGTATAAATTTTATATTGCAAGTTGTTTAGATTTAATCTACCATTAGCATAGTACGTAAATCATGTATAATTCTTACATAATTCGTATGTATGTACTTAATATTTTTACATATAATAATTGCCAAAATGTCACTTCTTGATATAAATCCATCCATATGTTATGCACATATTTTGCTTTATTAAGTGCCACTGTATTTTTGTATATGGTTGAAAAAAAAATATAAAATAATTTCAATTACTTTCTCAATAATAAGAAATGCCAAGTTTGCCAGTGTTATATTATTATTTGAAGTAAAACACGTATATTCTGAGCTAAAGCTTTCAAAATTAAATGGAATTAATGCACTTTGTGTTTTTGTATATATCTTATGCAGTCACTGAAATTGAATGAAATACCGTTGTTGTGGAGCTCATGCTGACGCTGAGATTTTGCTGTTCGCAGCCTAAACTGCCTCTGCATTAACGTTCGGCAAAGAGAAAGTTCAGCAATGGCTGAGCACAGAATAGTTCTCAGCGTCAGCCTGGGCGCCATTCTCACCGAGGCTGGCTTCGACAGTGTGGAAAAGGTGGCGTTCGAAACACTGCTAGAGATCCTCAGCAGCTTCCTCATCTCCACTGGAAACACCAGTCGTAATTATTGCGAGTTGGCTGGCCGAGTGCAGCCAGTTGCGGGTGACCTGGTGATGACTTTTGCCGACCTCGGCATTGACCTTCGAGGTGTTGAGAAGTATGCTCGTCGACAGCAAAGACTCGTACTTCCTGCCCTGTCTAACGCCGCGCCGCCCAAACCAATAACCATCCTGCAGGCAGGCACCAAACTGCAACATCCGTCTCACATTCCGGACCACTTGCCTGCTTTTCCCGACCCCCATGCGTACATCCGCACCCCCACCCACAAACAGCCAGTGACTGAATACGAGGCGCTGAGAGAAAAAGCAGCCGCTCAAAAGAGGGACATCGAAAGGGCCCTGACCAAGTTTGTGGCCAAGACTGGAGATACGCAGAGTCTCTTCATGACAGACGACGTCAACATCTTCCCATTAGTCGCCTGCAAACCCCAGGCGCAACCCTACTTGGACGCCCTAGTGCCCAAGGATCAGGTGTTCGACGAAGAGGATGAGGAGTTGGAGCCGCAGCCTTCGGTAAAAAGGGTCAAGAGGGAAGATCCCAACGTCAGTAAAACCACAGATAAAGACTCGGACGGAGAAGATTCCACGCCTCCTTCCAGTCCTGGAATGGACCAAGTGGAACAACCAAGAGAGGCTGCCAGGGAGCCGGCAAGAGAAGCTTCGTTCTCTGAGGATCCTATTGACAATCCCTACCTGAGGGCTGTTAAAAAGCCTCACAAACTGATGTGAATTGGAACGTGTTAATCTCATTTAGTGACATTTTCTTTGTTTGTGTGAACCTAAATAATAAACAATGAGTTACGATGTAATTAATTTTCTAGCACCATTATCTTATGTAGTCAGTGGCTATTTTTTTTTATTGTATAAATCTCAATAAAATGGCAAATTTATGCTTAAAAAGATTTACAGTGGATCTTGGCAAAATTTTAATTTTAACAGCTTACTTTGTTTTTCTTTTTCAATAGCTAAATGGCTCAAATATAATTTTTTTTCAAATCCTATTTTATAGTGTGCGCTGATCTGATTGGCGGAGCCAAGAAGCAGCAGCTGCGGATCAAGGGTCCAGTTCGCATGCCAACAAAGACTCTTCGTATCACCACCCGTAAGACTCCTTGTGGTGAAGGTTCAAAGACCTGGGACCGATTCCAGATGAGGATCCACAAGCGCGTGATTGATCTGCACAGCTCTTCGGAGATCGTCAGGCAGATTGTATCCTTTTCATCAAACTATTGATAATTTTATGCTGACAGGAAATTGATAATTTTTGAAAGTTCTTATAAAAAAATTTATTTGATATTTACAGACAAATAATAATCCTAAATCTTCAGATAACGTTCAACTTATTTTTAATCGGGCTGAATTAAGAAGTTTCTGGCCAATTCATATAATTTTATGTTGATTCTTTAAAATGACATTTTTCAAAATAATCAGTACTTGAACCGTCTTAAATGATTCATGCATTCCATTTTCTAACAGGTTAATTTTCTTTAACTCTTCTTGTAGACCTCAATCAGCATTGAACCTGGTGTGGAGGTTGAGGTGACCATCGCCGACTCTTAAGAGCTAAAAAAGGGACCAGCGTGAAAATAAAATCACACGCAATAAATCAAATATCATGCATTTTATTTGCTATGACCATTATTTCAAAAAGTGGTATAAATTAAAAAAAAAAATGGAATTGATGAGTGTGGATAGCAATATTACAGTTGAATTTGAATAGGAGATGCGGCCGGGTTACTTGTCAACTTTAAGCTTGTTATGAGACTTAGTAGATAATTTTCTGCCACAAAGGTCATACCCGTGGCCGCTACTTAACTCTTCATCTGTATTAGAGCTGTGCTCGCTGTCACTGGAATCGTGGTAATTTCCAATCCCAGGAAGGATTCCAATGCAAGTCATCACAGGTGTAGGCAACGTTTCTGTGGATAAAACAAAAATAATTTATGGTAGAAAATAAATTAAATCGAGTAGACTAACCTTCAGTCTCGGAATGCTTTCGCTTTGCTCCAGTCTGAGTTTCGGCCGAGTTGGACATATCACTCGACTTTCTTTTGACGGCTCCAGCTAATAGCTTGTGCTGAGAAAGTTTGGCTGAAGTGGTGCTACTGCTGCCTGTTACAGGTTTTTTGATAACTTCCAAATTGATTCTCGCCTGCAGGCTGTCATCTTGCAGGCTGGACACTGCGTTTCTGTACTCGGCAATGGCTTGCTCCTCCTCCAAATTTTTCCTTTTCTCGGCCTCAATTTTGCCTTTGTCGACTTGATCAAGAAAGTTGATTTCATCGTCATCCAAACCCTTGATCATATTTTCTATGTAAACAATGATATTGGTTATTTATTTAAAATTAAACAATTTATAAAAATGAAAACAAAAAAGGTTGTAAACATACTCAATTTGTGTGCCTCCTCAAATTCCATGTCCTTCTTCATTTTTTGCTCTTGCAATCGTTCAAAGAGACACCTAGGGTCGTAGGCTTCCTCTGGAGCCTCTGCAAATATCATGAGTATTGAGTTGTAACCAAATAATTCCAAATTCCACATTGTTTTTAATTGCACACGATAGTCACCTTTAGGATCATCAGGTTTTCGAACACGTTCCCATTCCTCTTGTCTCTTCTTCTTTTGCTCCTCAACTTCACTTTCAGTTACAAAGCCTGAGCTCATTTTAAAAGTTTGTTTGCAGAAACACAAAAATTCATAAACTAGCAAAAATTGTCAAGTGAAACTTGAGAGGCGACGGCTTGGCAGTTCCTGCACAGCCAAAATATTTTAATGCCTGGATGGGGTGGATTGAAATGCGTAGTAATTTGGACCAATGAGAAGCTCCCATTAAAAATCTGAGCGTTTTCATTGGTCGAAATTTCGTTTCCATCGTGTCCTCCATCTTTAGTCGCTCAGCTGCTATCAACTGCAGTGGGTGCCTGAAATTTTTCATTTTTGTCTGGTTGTCCTGCAAAACGACGATCGACGGGAACAAAAAATATTTCCTGTCGGAGAGGCATTAAAATTGGCAGCAAACCATGGTGGTCACAAACAATTTCTCACTGCCTACGGAGAAGGAGCTCGACGTACAAGAGGTCAACCTGAGCAGCTCCATCCTTCGTGCCGGTGCTTTCCAACTTGGAAAACACTGCGAGAGCCAAAACAATGTGAACATTAATTTCTTGCTTTTGAATTTTGAGCGAAATTTTAATTAAATTATTTATTGCAGGAATTCATTCTCTGCCGCACTGAACTAAAAGACCCAAGAAAGTGCATCGAAGAGGGCAAGGCGGTCACAAGCTGCGCTTTGGATTTTTTTAGGAAAATGAAGAAGGCCTGTCGTGAGGAGTTGGAGCAGTATGCAACCTGCTTGGAAAGATCTAGCTGTGGCATGGACTATCAATAGTAATTTTTTTAATTTATTAACCAACAATAAGATTATTATAAAAAAAAATTATAGCTGCCGTCAAACTCAGGGAGTTTATGACAAGTGTGTTTTGGACAACTTCGGCATCGAGCGGCCCGAGTTTGGCTATTATTGCAAACCAAAGGTGCATGACTCTAAGAGGCCGAAACCAGCTCCTGAACCTCCCAAAATTTACCCTGATTCCACCCCTGGCCTTCCTGAGGATACAGCCCAGCCTCCTGCAAAGTACGGCCACAGGTTCTATATTTGGTAAGGTAAAGAGGAAATCACGTTGTAAATTAATAGTTTGTTAGTGATGTATATTGAGAGAAAGTCGAATAAAGTGACGTTATTTGTTTGTCTAATAACTGATAATTCTGACACCTTTTTTAAGAAAAAATATGCTCATAAAAAAATTATTATTGTGCTCTTATTATAAAAAGAAAATATATCTACAAATAATATCAATGCAACTGATTCTATTATAAACTATTAGAAAATATGTTTGAGAAAAAAACGGGATTTAGAATTTCTGGTAAAAATAAGTATAATTAATCAATATTTATGTTCTATGTTATTCACAATATCACAAAAATTATCCTTTAAGCAAAATATTTAAACTTTTGGCGCCAAAATTTTGTGTCGTCTGAGGAACGCTATGCGCAAGCGAAGCTCTGCCGAACTAGATTGAAAGAGGATCGGGCATCGAGCACTAAAAATCATCAGAAAAACAACCCTCAACCTTAAATTAATTAGACAATTGGAGTAATTCTTTCTCTTACGAAAGACCGCCTCCGTGATGTCGGCAGGCTGTTCAATTTCTGCCAACCTCCCCTAACGAGATTATGCGCAGCCATCCAGTCTCGAGCCTGCCGCACAGCGCATAAACACAGGCAATTTTTATTGTTTGATGGCTACACTGGTGCGTTTTAGCTAAAGCGCAGACCGTAAACTTCACAATGAAGGTGACCAAGGAGTCTCTGGAGGCAAGCCAGAAGGCCATGCGCCGTCACAGCAACGTTGGGCTGCACAGCGGCTGTGAGGAGGACATCAGTGACGTCCTGGTGTCGCAGGCCGACACGCACTCGGTCACCTCTATGCTTTTTTCAGATGGAATTCTGCGTCAGGTTGATTAAATTTCTTTTTAAAAGGATCACATTCTAATAAATCATTTCCAGGCCCTATTGTCGCAAGACTTGGTGAACTTTTCGACACCTGACGATGAGAAGCCGAAGGGCCCAGACACTGGCCTTGTGATGGTCAAGTCTTCAGGACCTTCCTTGCCGCCTATGTCTGAACTGTCTCGTCCAGTGGCCAACCTTAACCATCTGGAGCCACCGACAGGGCCCATCGACCCAGAGGTGTTGTTGGACGAGCTTCATGACGAGTTCAGCGATGGATACAAACTGGCTTCCCCTGTGTTGCTTAATGGAACTATGAGCTCTTTGCCACCCATCGACGATGTCCACAAGGCATCTGGTGGCTTATTGACTGATAGAGATCAATTGATTGGCGCATCTACAAGGGATAAGAACATCTTCCAGCCTCCCTCATCACCTTTGCAGGCAGAGAACGACGTTGCTGGATCCCTGCTGTTGTCCAGCTCCCGAGGACCACTTCCAACCATGTCCAGCAGCCAAGTTTCATCTCTTTTGTCAGCACTCAATTCAGACCTGTCTAACCCAGAGCTAGAACTTTCACCACCCAGAAAACTCAACGAATCTTTGGAGAAGGTAAGGCTGGTAAATTATTGTTCATGAGTATTGAATCCATAATATTATTTTTTGTCAGGTTGATCTACTAATAACTCCAGAGAGAGTCTCCACCTTGACCCAGACGGACAGTTTAGATGGAATAGATGGTCTTATTCCTCTGTCGACTCCCGATGATAAATCGCCAATGATGAACATTATGTTTGCACGCTTTAAGGAACCAGATCCCCAAGAGCAACCACAACAAACTGCTCCCCCAAATCTGACACCCCCACCGCCTCCAGCTGCGCCCCCTGTTAAGCAAGAGAAGCCAAAAAAGAAAGCTAAACCCAGGACTAAAAAAGTCGTCCAGCCACCACCGGCTCCTCAAGAAAGTACGACAGCCGAGAGAGTATTTTGTTTCAAGTGCTCTTCATGTCCTTTTCTAAGCATGGACAGAGAGGGTGTGGACAAGCACATTAAAGCAGAGCACTCGTCTAACAAAAGCAGTCAGCAACAGCAGCAACAACAACAATATATGTCTGAACCAATCAACCAAGAACTGAGGTGTCCAGGCTGTCCAAATATTTTCTTTAGTCCAGATTCACTTAAGGTAATGTTATTAGTTTTATTTCTGCAGCATAAAACAATTTTTTTTTCAACAAAATTTCAGGTTCATTTAATTCATGACCATCGAGTAGATGAGAAAGACACCCCAAAAATAATCAACTGTCTTCGAATTGTGACAAGCATACCGATGCAGCAACGATCTGTAGAAGTGCGCACTGTTGAGCGACAGCCAGAACCAGCACCCCTGATTCTCAAAGAATCATATAGTCCTAAACCTGATCTTGAAGAACCCAAAAGACAGCCGTCAAAATCAGTACGAAAAAAGGACGTGTCTAATGTTGAGGTTTACACAGACGACGCTGGAAAAATCAAAGTCAGGCCCATTGGCAGCACTCCCACTCCAGTCGCAATTGATCCAGCTGCTCCAGAGACGTCCAGTGGCTCAGGAGGAGATGCTTGCGAGAGTTCAGACTTAGAGACTGTAGAAGACGAGGATGAAAAGGAGTGTGCTAAGAAGAAGGGCAGACCCAAGGGCTCAAAAAGCATTGGCATCACAGCTTTCAAGAGACAAAATCCATCTCTTCGTCTAGGAGAAAAAGAGCTTGGATATCGCTGCTCAGTATCTGGTTGTGCCACTAGAATGAGGTCTCACGACAAAATCGAGTATCACAGAAAGTGTCACGAAGCCCCAGGCAATGAAGAGGGCGAGTTTGTCTGTCCCGAGTGCCAATCTCACTACAACCAGTGGCGAGTTCTCTCCATGCACTTGTGGAGATCACACAGCATAGACATGGAACTCTACAACTGTGACAAATGTGAATTCAAGACTAATAGTCATAGCATGCTGGTCAATATTCACAAAAGAATTCATGGCGAGGAGAAACCTTTTCTTTGCGACGTCTGTGGGAAAGGATTCAAGACTAACAAACAGCTCCGGAATCACAGGGTAATTTATATTTTTTATCAGTTGTTTTATGCTTATCAATATATAAAACTTTTTGTCAAATAACTAAACCTCTGCATTATTTCAGGTCATTCATACAAATGGCACTCGACCACGTCCAGTCCATGGTGGTGTGTGCGACATCTGCGGTCGAAAGTACACTGACAAACGAATGCTGCGCATGCACAAGGACACTGTGCATGCCAAGCTGCGTCCTTACCTGTGCAACTACTGTGGATACTCAGCTTCATCGCGCTCTACCTTGAAGATGCACATGCGGCAGCACACGGGAGAAAAGCCATTCGCCTGCACTTACTGCGACTACCGAACGTCTGACCATAATTCTCTGCGCCGTCATCTGATGCGCCACTCTGGTCAGACCAAGTATCAATGCCCGCACTGCAACTACGCTTGCATTCAGTCCAGCACCTACAAAGTCCACTTGAAAACAAAACATCCTGGCTTGGATGAAGGACTGCTCTTTTCCTGCCCATACTGTTCCTTCCGGACTATTAAAAAAGAGAACTACGACACCCACGTTGTTGCTCACGAACAGTCTAAAGATGGCACCATACCTGAGGTGGAGATGTTTGACAAAAAGAAGAAAACTCCACAGTCGCAAGCTGTTTGTAACTCGAAACTTCCTAGTTCGGCCGAATTGGCAAAAGCTGTTCTCAACGATTGCAAACTGAAAGCTACCAAAAAGACTGACGAGACCAAAAATTCTCAAGCAGTAAGTTTTCTCCCGTTTTTGTCTATTTAAATAACTTGACAATGAAAAATTATTTGCAGAAATCCGAGCCTAAGAAGAAAAGGATGCCCCAGAAGAGACCCGCTGTGCCAATTGAGTCTGCAACAACACCAGTGGTTGCGAATTGCAAAGCATTTATTATGAATGGCAACGCAAAAGGGGCTGCAAAAACTGCGACGACTACACGGCCTGCAGTGAAACTGCCAATGACTTGCCTACCGCAGACTCCTGCCCCGTCATTGCCACAAGTGTGCTCCAATAATTTTCTTGCGTCGCTCGACAACTATTCTTCTGTTAACAGCCAAAATGTAAGGATTAAAAATTTTATGAAATAAATTTAAATTAACTACAACAAAATTGCAGTGCTTTGGAGTCGAGGATAGAAGATATCCTCTTTTGTCATCCCAGCTGAGATTAACAAATGACTCGATAAACACATCAAGCCCACTCATAACGCTCCTCGATGGAAGGCAGTTCCTTCAGGTTGCATCAGCTGGTGAAATAATGATGCCTGTGATTTTAGCCCCTCAAGGACTTCAGGTTGGCATATAATTTTTTTATTTTAAAATGTATATTATTAAATTTATTTCTTCAGCTGACTTTATGTGGATCCGAACCAGAACAAATTACTGGAGACCTAATCGAAGGCACTGGCGTAGCTGGTGCCTCTGTTGTGATGAGCAGCGATGTCTCGGAGATCAAGTGCAAAATAGCCGAAGATATGTCGAAAGGCAGCTAAGTGATCACCATTCCAGAGTGTAGAAAAAACTGAACTCTTTCATGTGATAAATTCATAGTGACATTCTAATTGTGCCCTTGCAGGCACTTAATATTTATTGCAACTTGGTATAAAGAAAAAATCGCTCAACTGCAATCTATTATGATTCATTTTTAAAGTTGGCGCAAAAGGTATTGTGGCACAATAAACTGCCCAGAATTAATTATGTCTTTGTCACCATTAGTTGTGTAGCTGTGTTTACCTATAATTTGGATATTTAAATATTTTAGAGCCAGCTTGAAACTTGCAACTCCTCGAATTTGAGTTAATTAACATTTAAAAGTGAATGATTCTCAATGCATTTAAAAATGATTTAATTTAAATGAAGATAATTGTACAGCTCGTAACTTGTTAAAGAGTAATAGTTTAAGTACTTAATTTTCTTTGTCAATAGTGATGTTTAATGAATATATTTAAATAATGTTGAAATGTTGTGTGCATTTTACATAAAAGTGATGCATTAAATAATGAAGTCATGCCTCTACTTTTGTGCTTTAATTCTTAAAAAAAATTTTAAATGATGCCACTCGAAAAGAGTGATAATAAGTAAAATAAGTGCACGCCCGAGATGACTTACAGCTAGGCCACCTAATTTAGTGAAAGGTGTTTTCTGACGTCAGCGACCTGAGGCGTCTGCGCACTTTCATTTGTACCTTGAATTCAGGTTACTCCAGCTGTCGATGCCCTGAATTACAAGATGCCCCTTACAAAGGGCGCATTTTGTCTGCTTTGGGTGAGTGTGTTGTGTTCGACAGGGGCTGTGGAGATCAAGGCACCACTATCTCAGGGTCGCTTGCGTGGCGAAATCAGGTTTAGCCAGCCAAATGCCGGTGGAGACGTAACAGTCCAAGTCGCCCTGCTACTTACCGATGGCGGCTCGGCTCAGAATCTGGACTGGCAGGTCAGGGAGTTTCCTGCGGATTACCGAGAAGTGGATGGAGGCGAACGGTGCTCCAATAGTCGGCTCGGCAAGACTGTCATTGATTTAGGAGAGAGACTGGGCAAACTCAGCCTTCCAGAAAATAGCACAGCGGTATTTGTGATTCCTGGAGGCTACCTGAATTGGACTAAAACTGATGGCATCTGGGGAAGGTTTGATTAATTTAAAAAAGTATTATTTTTTAAATAAATTTATTTCAACCAAAAAATCATTCAGGTCTCTGATTATACGCGGCGACTCCAATGTTGCGTGCGCCACTTTGATGGTCGAAGGTGAGGAGCGTTTGGCCGAGGCTCATTTTCGAGGCGCCCTGGAAGGCTCAGTTTTGTTTCGCTGGTTCGGTGCTGAAAACGGCGTCGACGCGGTCATTCTGAGCAAGCTCCGCAGAGCCCAAGACAACAGCACTGTGACTCGAAAGCACAATTGGAAAATCTATGTAACTGACAGTGTTGAGAGCGAAGCAGACAAGTCGCGGGACAACTGCAACTCCCTACAGCTGGTTTTCGACCCTGACAATAAGGGAGAAGGTACTTTTCAAACAAAATTTTAACCTTCTGATTTCAATTTTTTTTAAAGGACACAGAGCTGGAGATTTGGATAGTCGGCTTGGTCAGCTGAAAACAGGAGGGTCGCACCTCTTGCGTGACGGTTCTTTGCCAGAGCTGCACGAGTCTGCGGCAAATTCTCCCAGGAGTCTTTATGTGGTTGTATTTCACTGGCACCACACGGACAGTATAATGGCCTGCGCCAGAGTGCATAGAATGGTTACCAAAAAGGCGCTGACCATCCTTCAAGGCGGAGGTCTTAAATTTAAATTAAAACTAGAACAACGCTCGCCTTACGATTTGACGTTTTTGACGGCTGAAGAAATTAATAAACCAATTGTAAGATTATTTACTCAAAAATTATTTTATCCATCTGAGAAAAAAATTATCACCAATCAGGAAGGCTTAGAATACCAAATAAGGGAGCTGCCAGCACAAGGGGGTTCTCCTGATGCCTGCTATTACTCCGGCCCACTGTTTGACCCTTTGCGAGTTGGACAAGAAGAGAGAAAGACTGCAGGCGGCAGCCACAATGAATATGCTGTAGGCAGTCTACATTTAAAGCATGGCCCGCTTGATCGTTTATTTGGAACTTGGGACTCCTTCCTGCCTCTCTACGGGCCTCACAGCGTGATCCATCGATCGCTGTATGTTACTCACGGAGGCTCCGTCGCCTGCGCCACAATTAATGCTGTGACGCCAATGTCCACTGCTCAAGTGTTATTCAGGTAAAGCCAGACTATATAAATTAAAACATAGATATTAATTAGAAGTTACAGGTATCCAGTTGTGGGTCGAATACTATTGCGACAAGAAAAAGAGGCCCCTTGGACAGATACGTCCGTCCTCGTTGAATACCTGGTTTATGCTGACGGCTCTAAAAATGACACAAGTGAAATTCACTGGCGCGTTATGGAAAACCCGACAGGCGGAGACTTTTACAATTGGACGGCTCGATGTCTCAGCGCTGGAGAGCAATTCAACCCAAACTCTTGCGTTGGACCCCAAAGCTGTGCGATTGGAGCCCTGAGCGACCGACACGCGACGCTTTCAGCGTCAGGAGGAAAGGCAAAGATGATAGAAAGAACTCGGCGGCTCTTCACAGACTCAAATCTGCCGTTATCTGGGTCAGACGGTGTAGTTGGGCGCTCGTTGGTGCTTTCGGATGCGTTCGGTCCTAAAGCAAGGGGAGAACGATTGGCTTGCACAACAATAACTTGGCTCCCACGTGTAAAAGCAGTCGTTCAGGACTGGTTCGGAAGCGACGGACAGGAACCATCGGTCAAAGTAAGGAAAATATTCATTAAAACCTTAATAGATGTGATAACGTATGTTGTTTAAAAAAAATTGCAGGGTCGAATAGAAATGATTCAATACACCCCATACGACTTGACAAATGTCGATGTCACCTTGAAAGGCCTGCAGGACGTCAAAGGATATCACGTTCATGTGACGCCTGTAGAAATGCAGCTGGCCTTCCCTTGCGAGGACTCAACCTTGTACGGCCACTGGAATCCTCTTGGGGTGGACCCCAAAAGTAGTCCTGCTCCTGGTCATGGCACTCCCGAGCAGTACGAAATGGGCGATTTGAGTGGAAAGTGGGGCACCTTTGCTGGACTCACTCACGCCTCTCTTGTCTACAACGATTCTCAACTGGACCTGATTGGGCCCCAGAGCATAATAGGTCGATCGGTGGTGATTCACAGGGCCGAAGACAACGCTCGATGGGCCTGTGGAACAATCGAACGTGGTTATGCCGCTTCGGAGGCGCGAGAGCTGCGTGCAATCGCCTCTTTCCACCATCCTTACGGTTATGCCTATGGATACATCAGATTTACTCAATTGGTAGGATAATTATTTTTCTAACAAAACCAAAATTAAAAAAAAAATCTCAGGTTTACGGTCCAGGTTCATACGGCGAGACAAATATTGAGGTTAAAATTAGGCACCCAGGCATCAACGATAGAAATTTGACCAGAGGTCACAATTGGGCTGTATTTGTAAACCCAGTGGGCCAGGACGCCGCAGTGAAGTCTACGGGCACAAGATGTGTGGCAGGAGGATATGTGTGGAACCCATATTTCATCCAGTTGGCAGACCCTTTCAACGACGAACTCTACAGAGATCAATGTGGGCCTGACAACCCATTACGGTGCTACGTCGGTGACGTTGGAAGGAGACTCGGCCCCATCAACCTTGGAGATAAAAGACAAGTGAGAATAAAATAAGATTCTAGGAAAATTGAATTCATTAATGTAAAAAGGTTTTCTCCGACATGAATCTGCCCTTGGAAGGCCCACACTCGGCTGTGGGGCGATCTTTGGTCATTTACTCCCCAGACGGGGGCAACGAACGATTTGCCTGCGCCAACATCGAGCCCGACCATGACATAATAAAATACGCAAATCTTCGGCGTCCCCCTCGGTTTGAGGTGTCACAGTTCTTGGAAAGGGTGCGAGCAGTACTTGGCATTCCGGAGTGGATGCTGACCGTGGACAACAGGAAGACGCGCTCTTTGCATGGAAATACTTGCATTCAGCTGCTGCTGCATTTCCGGGGTCCCCAAGCTAATAAATTAGAACAAGATTTCAGCCGGCTGCTCAACGTCGGCTCTCAAAAGGAGACGAGTTTGTTCATCCCCGGCTTCTACCCCGATGCAAAGAGACCAACCACTTTGTCATACAAACAGTGTGGGGTGGTGGACACCAACAAAAAGAAAAGTAGCTACTTTAGTATAAGTAAAGCAGAAAAAAAATCTGTTAATCTGATAACAGTGGCTGTCATGTTACTGATGGTGAAATATTTTTAGATCTGTGATTACTATAAACACCAAAAATGACTGATGTTGTTAAAATAAAGGGATGTTTTAGGATTTTAAGTCAATAATCTGATATTTCAGCAAAGTGCAAGAATTTATATTAATCTAAATCACGTTTTATATAACATCTGTGCCAAAGCTTTGAATTCCATGACAAAATGATAAATATCAAAAATCCTACGAGGATCACAGTGTGAAATTATTTTCCAAAAACATTCAAAACTTTAAACTTAATGTCCTGACCAAAATAAAATTAGTAATTTATGAAAATTTTACATAAAAGCATATTAAATTTGAATAATTCAAACACCTAACCTTTCAGCATTCTCCTTGAGCCAATTGTGGTAATAATTCAGCATGTAATCGTCTGGCTGCACGTCTCGCCATTCGTTTCTGCAGAAGATCCTGAAGGAATCATTGCCATACTTGTTGATGCCGTGCAACTCGATTGGGTAAACCCACGCCTTGTGCCTGTAATCGTGGGAGAAGCGAATGATTTGGCCTGCACGCCGATTGAAGAGACCAAGTGGTCTGAGGAACTCGGCCATCTCCTTTTTGTCAGCCTCGTAAGCACTCTCAGGGTCAGGCCACCTTTCGAAGAACTGCCAAACCATGGGACAGGCCACTGAGCCACGAGTTTTGTTGAGAAAAATTGTGGCGATCAAAAGTTTCCAAGGGTCGTGATAGAGTTTTTCTTGAATCAAGTCGTATGGGGATCTGGGAGGCACCCACCTGTATTGTCAGAATACAAAGTTTAATCTGCAATGATATTTTATTTTAATCTTTAATATTTTAACCTTGAAGATTTGATGATGTCGAGTGCCGACTTGGGCTTGCTTGGTCCCGAGGCTTGATTCTTGAAGTATCTGCTGGTTTTCAGTCTTTTGAGCTTCTCTTGAGAGCACTCATGGCCTGGTGTTTGATTTCCTCGGCCATCTGACGCAGCTCCTGCTCCCTCGTCTGCAGCTCTTCCACTTCGACTTTCAGTCGAGTCTGCAGTTGCTCGATCTGACGGCTCGTCTCCACAAATTTCGTCACTTCGCTCCAGTTTTTCAGCAGCTCTTGTTTCCGGTCTGCATCAAATCCGTCGGAACTCCCTGTTAGAAAATTTTAAAAATCATCATGAAAATAATTTGGTTTGAGGGTTTTTGTGTTGAACAATTTTATAAAAAAAATTTGTATGCATAGGCTTAATTTTTTTAGCTGCATGATTTATTAATATTGTTCTATTTACCTAGAAGGGGTCTTTCCTGTATTTGGAATGCTGGATCGTCACTCGTTGAATTAGCCAAATCTTCCAAGATCTGCTCACAATTTGGCGGCTTGGGCCTTGGTGGAAAAACTGCCTTCTTCTTCAACATGCTAAAATTGAAAAAGGAATTGCATGATAACAAAATTCCATTTCTCGGAACGAAACTTTTAAAATTTAAACTTATAATTGATACATATATACGTACCTATTCAATGCATCGCCCGAAATGGAAGTTTAAGTCAACGCGACGAAACTGTGGAATTCATCACAAAATGAACACATTGACAACAAAAAAATAAGAAAAATTACAAGGCTTCAAAATTTGTTCGATTTGTTCCATAAAAAAATTACCAAATGCACAAGTCCTCTCTATGTCAACAATAATTGTCCGAGACTAACTTGACGTAATTTTTCGATTAATGTGACAATAAGTTAAAATTTTGTTTGCCTACATGGCTGTTAAATTACATTTTTCACATTGACAACGATTGTTCGAAAAATAAACAAGCATGGCTGGAGGTTCACGAGGGCGTGTTTACAATTCGCGAGGCGGCAAAGCGTTCAAACAAAAATGCGCGCGATAAGCCACGCGGCCGTATTATTTGGATTTATTTATATTAGCATTCAGAATTATCTATGTCGAAGAGAACTTTGCTTTTCACTGCGATTATGCTTGTTTCCCAATAATATTTTTAGATAAAAAAAAATTGAATATTTTGCTTAATTATTTTGATGAAGTCAATTCTAAAATAAATAGACCTTATGTATATGTATCCATAATAACGATTAAAAAAAAATTGAAATTTTAAGGAGACGTTATTTATTAGAAAATTATCTTCATTGAATCATCTTTATTCAAACATTTCAAACTTAGCATCTTTCGCCCGTGGGGTGCAGGGTCAGCTCGTGTATCTGTTAAAAATAATAATAATAATCATAATGTTCAACTAAAATATAATAATATGGTAAAAAGAAATACCTGAACGTGTGCCGGCGCCGAGATTGCAAAGACAACAGCGTCTGCGACGTCCTCAGAGCGCAGGATTGGTGTGTCCTCCAGCACAAGTTTCTGCATGAGCTCCGACTGGCCGGACGCTGCAAACAACTCTGTGTCCACAAATCCAGGGCTGACGCTCTTAAAGTTAATAGAAATATCAAAATTTATATATTTAATTCAGCTAATTTTAATTCAAAAACGCTAAATAAAATAAAATGAAAAAAGTGGAGGAAAAAGATGAAAACTTACAGTGACCCTGATTTTGGTGCCAAGATTACGGAGCTCTCGACGCAGCGCCTCTGTGAGCAGCGTCACCGCATGCTTGCTGGCCACGTAGGGAGCGTAGCCCGCCAGTTCAGGAGCGTGAGGCATTGCGTGGCCGAAAATGCTGTGGAAGAAAAATGTGATTAAAATTGAATAATTCGTTGCAAAAAAATATTACTTCTTAAGAATTAATTAAAAGTACTTTTGTATTTTTATTAATAATTTTTCATTAAAATAATTATATTTTTATATGCCTATTTATGTGGATTATGTGTCCATCATTAACTCCTCTGGAACGCATGTCCTGAATGGCCTCGCGCGTGAAGATGCTCAATCCGACCACATTTGTGTCCAAGATGCGTCTCATCGCGGACACGTCAAGCTCTTTTTAATAAAAATTTTAAATAATAATTTAAAAAAAATTATTCCCAGGAGAAAATTTACCTGAGAGAAGCGTGAGTGGCGCAACTCCAGCGTTGTTGACGAGGACGTCGACGCCACCGAGGTTGTCCTTGGTCCATTGGACAACGCGCTTGACGTCCTCCTCAACGCCGACATCAGCCTCTTGCGCGAAAACCTCTCCAGCGGCGCCCTCCGCCTTAAGATTGTCTGCCAACGCCTGTACCGACCAAAATTTTCAGCAAAAATTCGAATGCAGAAAAATTGAAGAAGACCTGAACTAAATTAGCCCTCCTGGCAACTCCAACCACTTTCATTCCCTGCAGAGCTAAAGTGCGAACCACGGCGGCGCCGATCCCAGCGCTCGCTCCCGTTACGATGGCCACGCGCCCAATCCAACGTTCCATTTTCTAGCTCAGAAAAATTTCACCCATTTTCGTCAGCGTCTAACGTTTTTTATTACCATATCAACTATTTTAACTTTTTTTAAACATTTCCTGTAGTTCTGTTCAAAAATCAAATCATAGCAAATAAATATTGCCAAAAAAATTCTTTGAAAAAAAATGGATTTTAACAAAAGTTCAATTGATCACAAACAAATTTTAATTGAAGTATAATTTTGGAATTTAATTTCAAAAAGTAAACTAAAAAACGAAAACTAAAACTGAATCTTTTGAACAACAAAATATTTTATACATAAAGCAATAATTATGCGTTAAATAAAATACAGTTCTTGTGAACTTTCCTATTTCTCACCTTTGTAGTCCCAAAAGCAGTCAGATATGAAGAGTGGTTTTCTAGGGTGACCCTCATATTTATATACCCAAAGTTCATGCTTCCCCCTCCTTACTTTTTATTTCCTCCTCCATCAATCTATAAAATTTTAGACTAGCAGCTAGTCGTGCCCACCAATGAATTTTTGGTCCTTGTTGCCAGCCGACACAAAAATCGATTAGCTTGGCTAGTAGTATATAAGCCTTGTGCCGTTAATTCCATACAGATAAATTTTGTAAAGGAGAAGCTTACTATATAGTCAAATCAGTGTATTGTTTGATTGTTGCACTCTGTAGTCAAATTTGGTCTTAAATGGGTTAAAAAAGGTCAAGCCAGCTCCTCATTTCTCTCCGCCACAATTTTCCCCGTTTTTTCACAAAAAATTGATCGGGCAATTTCTTGGCAGAAGATCTTTCACATTTAAAAATCATAATTTCAAGAACTTACAAAATTTGTAATAGAGGTTTTAAGTTTTGAAAATGGATTTTTAAGAAAAGTAGAACTTATGAAAACAGTGAATATTGAAGCATCTTCAATTTTGATTTAATAAACAATTCTTCTTTTATTTGTTTTATTATAATCATGATTTATGAGTATATCAACTTTATACGTCTACCTCCTCTTCCTGCCACCACCAATTCCTCCCTTACTTTTCCTGGTGTCGACCTTTCCAACTCTAGCTTTGCTCACTTTTCCTCCCTTCCTGGCCTTGCTGGGAATGCTCTTTTTCCTACCCTTTTTGCCTCCCTTTGCCTTCTTGGGTTTACGTTCATCAGAAGCACTAAATCACAAAAACATTATTGTTATCACAAGAATCATAAAAAGTATAAAAACTCACTCTTGTTGCTCTACGTGTCTGCCGAGTGCCTTCTCCAGATCTAGCTTGGGTTTCTTTCCTAAGATTCCTTCGATAATTTTCAGCTGAGACGTCTTTTCGTCATTCGAACTGATTTTTGAATGATCTCTCTTGGCCCTCTTTTGAACAATAGCATTTTGTTTGATCGCCTTTTCTTTTGGCAGCTTAGGTTGGAATTTTCCTAACGAAGCGGTGGAAACTCTCGCGACATCAGTGGCAGTCGTTAACTGGAGTTTTTAAAATATTAAATTACAATTGCAACTCTGAAATTTTTTATTTACCAGGGCAGATGAGGGTTTTTCAACAGGGGGCAATCCTTCCTTGGGAACTTTGATGTTCTTGGCCTTGGCAATGTTCCTCAACCTCTGAAATTCGTTCTTGGAAACCTTTTCCTTCTTCTTCTCGGCCTTCTTCGCAAACTGGTCCTCCATGGGATCAGCGTTCCCAGGCACCTCCAGCACCCAGTCCTTTTGTTTCTCCAATTCTGCTTTGCGATATCCAAATCGTGGAACCCATTTCTGTATAGTTTACATATAAAATATATATTTTATAAACAAATGTTTCACTCTCGGCTTCCAGAATAAAATTAATACCTGAACCATGTCGTCCCACACAAGATTGGTCTTCTTCTTCTTCTTGATTCCCTTTTCTAGCGCGTACTCTTGCCATTTGGTCAGGGGCCTTGGTTTAGGGCAAGGTTTCTCCCTGGGCAATCTTGTTGTTCCGACAGGCAATTGGGCAACTACAATTTCTTCGCGTCTCTCAAGAGGCAATTCCCAAATTTTGTTCAACAGCAGCTGCGTGTTGTCTCGGGCCAAAATTTTCAAATAGTCTTCTTTACTTGACCTATTCAAAAAATAAATAAAATTATTTACATATTATTTATTTTGCCAGAAGAATTCTACAGACTTTAGTTGCTTCAGGTCCAGTTCATTTGTGTCCGTGGCCAAAAGGTTTCCGATGTCGAATTCCAGCTCAACATTTTTCGTGACGTCCGTAGCCTTGTATTTTTCATTTTTCTTTGCCTCTTTATCCAAAATTTCCTCTAAAATATCCATTTTCGTGAAAAATTCTGCTATGCCGCAACTTCAACAAGCATTGGCAACAAAACCACGTGAAAAAATCATCATGGACGCCACATTGAACTTGCTTGAAGTTCTGCAATGTGGATCACAGATGGCGCGAATAGCAAATTTCGGCTCAAGAAATCCCTCGTAATGCTTCTGCTCTATTTTTCTTGGAGATCTTACATTTTTGCTGGATGAGAGAAACCAATTTTTATTTGTATGTTTTTTTTTTTTGATTAACAATTATTTGCTTATTTCTTTTTATTTTTGTCTTAATTGTTTTTAATTTTTAATGTTGCAGGACAATTATGGTGTTATTAGTAATTAAATGACTCAAATTTATTACAAATCAGTTAATTGAAATTAAATTGTGAGAAAGAAAAAAAATTTTTTTTACATAATAACTAAGTATAACTTATCAAAATAGCTTTAATTTTGCAAAAATATTTCATGGATTCACGATCAAAATAATGTTAAAATTAATTCAGTGTTAAAAGTTTATTCTTATATAAAGTTTTATCAGTTTTTATAAAAACATTGATTTTTTTTTACTTATTCGCAATTCTTTGCTTGACGATTAATTATATAAGTTACATTATACAACATTAAATTTAAGAAGTATAAACAAATAAAAGACCTCTCTGTTTGTATGTGAGAAGAAAAATGCGGTGTCACTTTTTACATCAACCCTGCTCAACTCTCAGCCTATATGAAAACCCCATAATTTATTAATACCCAAGAAGTTCTTTAACACTTTTACAATTTTCACTGAACCTCAAGGTGAGGCTCGGCCGCCGCCGTCGCACTGAAGAAGAAGTGCTGATAGGTTTTGTGTGCTCTGCGTGGCCCACCCTGAATCACCTACGATCTCTTCGCATTAGACCACCCAGTCGCAAAATCAGTAAGACACTGCCGAGTAATTCTGCTTTTCAGGAACACGCCGTATATAAATTATTGATGGCTTTCATAGGAAAAATTCCGCACCTCTTAAAATCTAATCTCTCTCATCAGCTTAACAAGAAGTAAAAAGCATAGGAAGAAGAATAAATGCGGGAACAGAGTCGGTGTATTTTCGGAATTTGTATTTTTCACTATAATTATAAGCCTCAGCTTTTTATTATTGTTGTATATTTGTCCACAATTTTTGCAAAAATTACTATTAAAAATAATAAAATTTAAAAAATTGTACTATATCGAAAAAATATTTGTTAGAAAGAAAGGGAATTTTATGCGACCAAACACAGAAGCACTAGAATGTTGCAATATCGATGAAAACAAATAATATTAAAAATATTTCTAAATAAGATCATTTTTAAAAAGATTGGAATTACATCACTCATCAACAACGGAATAATTTTTTTTATCAAATATTTAAAAATAGTAGACCTGGGTATTTTTGTGAAAATAAATTTTAAACCCATGATTTAAAGGGTTTTAATTTATTTTAATTTTGCTATTTATTGAATCTTGCTTAGTTTTTTGAGATTTCAGATTTTTTTATACACCACGAATGAATTTTACGAATTTTATAAGACTTGAAATGCACGTATCGCTGACAGTCATGAGAGACGCTGTAAATTTCAATTGCTTTGCTCTGCTCGTCGCGGCCCGCGCTTATTGCATTACATTCCGAATTAACATTCATGCGGGCCTGATTACGCAGCATTCCTCCCGAGAGCGGCCCGTTTTTTCTTGCTTGTAAATCGGACAAAGAAGGGCCACAGACGGTCTCATTATGAATACCCAACATACTGCTGTGCGGCGGTCTCTGTCTTTCCGAACAATGACAATGATATCGCGCGCTTGCACTGCATGTGTGTGGCTCCCTTGTCAATGCCCAAAGACAAAACCGAGTTATGAATGATGGATTCTTGAGACGGCTGAAAATGAATCCCCTGGGATTTTGTAATTAATATTTACAGGACACGCTACGCCGGGGGTCTTGAAACAATAAGTGGTGGAAAATAGAGGGTAACTGAAACTTTAAAAGACTCACGCACACGATGAAAAATTCTTATATATAAGTTGAAAAAAATCCATCTCAAAAATCGTAGTTCGGAATTTAATTTTGTTAATTTGTTAGCGTGAGTGTGTTTTTTTGTAAATTTTAGTGTAGAGTTGTGTAGTGTTTGCGTTGTTAAGTGTATTCCAGTTTCTGTTTTAAATTTTCAAAAGAATTTTAACGTGGATTCAGAAACTGAGCGAGAAAACCAATGCTCGGAAAACAAATTAAAATGTCCAAATTTCAACTTTTAATTGGAAATTTTAATTATTTTTAAAACAGATTAAAATTTCTGTTTTAAAAATAATTAATATTTCCACTGAAAACTATAGAAAATTAAGACAAGCGGCAACACCCTGATGAGCTTTCAATAAGCGAAATCATATGATGCTAGTCATGTTCAGGGTGTTGCCGCTTGTCTTAATTTTTTAGTTTTAAGTGGAAATATTAATTATTTTTTGAACTGAAATTTTAATCTGTTTTAAAAATACTTAAAATTTTCAATTAAAAGATGAAATTTGGACATTTTAATTCGTTTTTCTCGCTCAGTTTTTTAATCCACCCACGTTAAAATTCTTTTGAAGAAAATTTAAATATTAATCCCTAACTTATTAGTTTGATCTTGTAAATTTTTTATTTAAAATTATATTTTAATACATTATAGTAACTAAAATATTAAATGTTTTACTTAAAGACAAATTTACATTTCCATTAAGATTTATAAAAAAAAAAATAAAGTCATTAATTGCAGTGGTAACTAGAAATCTTGAACACTGCTTAAACATTAAGGTCCAAAATATTAAGGAATATTTTGAAAATAAGTTGCACGCTAGATTATAAAAATTTTTCATTATATAATTGAATTATTTTTACCATATTTTAAATCAATTATTTTGAAGTAATTCTGAATTTAGAGAAGCACTCTGTAAGAATATTTTATTATAAAATCCATTTTTACATTGAATAGTGAGGATGAGGAAAAACAAATTGACATTATCAATTGAGCATTAATTTTTCAACATCAAATTTTATGCTGGATTAGATAATTTGATAATTGATGTTTCAATTTTCGATATCAAATTGATCCTTGCTATGACTAAACATGCACGACAACATCTCTATACCCATTTAATAAATAGTCAACCAGGTTTAATGGCTATTTTATTGTCAACTCGATCTTCTTTTTCTGCAGCCTCGTGTTCATTTAATTTGCTGCAAGCGTGGAGAACCGATCATTGACAAATGACCCAGATACATTCAAAGCGGCGACAAGTCTCTCTTTCGCCCTTTACAGAAAGTATGAATGGCTGAGTTTAGTGCCAGATCATTTCGTTGAGCACAGATGCAAATGACGGTGTATATAAAAATAGTCGCAAACTCGACACCGAGATTTGCGGTCAAGAGGGGAAATCGAGCTGCGAAAAATAAAAATTGGACAAAACTTGATATTCGAATTCGATATCTTCTATTGAATGGAAAATCTCGCGCTGCGGTCGCCGAGATCGAGAGGATAGTGCAATTTCAAGCTTCATTCTCAGCAAACTGCACGGCCGCTTGATTGTTTACTCTCGCAAGCAGACAGCTTGACTCGCCTGCTATATTTGCAATTCTGAGTAGAGAGATCTTTGTTACCTGCACGTCGAGAGGCAAAAAGAGGATAGCACAATTAATGCGACCCTATTCCTGCGGAAATTTTCCCATCCAAACCAATCAAAATCTCCGTGGAGACAATTTACGTTATATCGTTCAGACAATTTTGAATGAAATTAAATTTCAATGTGACCATTATTGAATAATCATAAATTTATGCAAGTAATATGATTTTTTTTCGTGTTTTTTGGACTCATGAAAATCAGAAGCATCTGTAAAAATTTGGATTCAAAGCTGAAAGAAAAAAAATTAAGAGTTCAAAATTTTTCGGGAAAAGAAATTTTCTAATAGCAACCTTTTATTTTTTTTCGCTGTCACAAATTGCCTATATCACGGCGAAAAGATCATTAACGTAAAATCTAGTACTTGTTATTATTCTTTAACTTTTTACTCATCAATTAATTGGCAAAACACATGTTAATATTTGTTCTCATGCATGCAAAAACCAAAAGGAAAATTCAATTGCTGATTTTGTCAGACACATAATTTATTATCTGTTAGACAGATTATATTCTATAGTATTTAAAAAACCGTAAAAAAACAATATATTACCAATTTCAGTTGAACAAAATATTTCGCGCATTAATTTCAAACAATTTTCCTTTTTGTTTTTGTTGTATTTATTATAAATTTTGGATCAACTTAAAATCTGGCTTATTGATATCTTTATGGTCCATTCTATGATAAACAACAAAGCTGAAAACTAAAATTTAATTAAATCGCACACAATATTAATTATGTTTAGAAAAAGACTGTTCCATAACTGAATTCCACATGAACTAAAAAGAAATTGATACAATAAAAGGGGACATAATATATCTTTCTTTAAGTTTTCTGGTGATTAAATTAAATGACATAATTAAATTAAACCTTTTGTACAATTATTTAAATCTTCTTTGAACCGAAGAAATTTTTTCAGTTAGAAGCGAAAATAAGGAAATAAAACGACGAAGGTCAATTATTATTATTACTATTGCAAATATTTTGGTTTCATTCAGAGAGAATCGTCAAATTGCTAACTCATCTAATGCAGTTAGCAGGTGCGTTTGTTTGCCCATCCGAAAATAATCTGCTGTATTTGCCAACTCCAGCTCTCACTCGGCAGTCAAAGGTACACATTTTAGAGGACCATCCAATATTTTGATAGCCGCGAACACCTGTTTTCGGAGCCTCCTCTTTTACTCGCGGGGCCAACAACAAGTCAAACTCTTCCTCGGCGGCGAGAAAAGCGCCCACCTGGGCCGACTGCAGATGGGCGAATCGAACCGCGCCGAAACCCTATACGTGTGTTTATTCAGCGCGTATAGGCAGATCGTCTTGACCCCATCAACTGACCCCACTCGTGTGCGATTTTCTCTCGGAAACATTTTAGAAAAAAAAATTCACGGCCGTCTCGAATGTTGCCTCTTGATGGCTGGAACATCAAAAAATACATTATGGATTATCAAATAAATTTATGTACACGCGCTTGTGAGTAAACAGAGACTAACCGCGCGCGGAGAGATTTTACAACGTCATGCGCGTGTTTTTGCGCTGCAGAGAAAGATATTTTAACGTTTTAACATTCCGCGCCGCAAAAGATGAGCGAGCCGATGCTCGTAAAATCGTTAATAACGTTCCGCCGAGAGACTATTGATTAAGCAAAACGCGCTTTTATAAAATAAATATAAAATTCCTCAGTCTTGTTCCTGCGAGCGCTTCCTCGCGACGAGTCAATTCGTTATCAGCTTTCGAGGAATTCAAAAACTCCTCTGAAATATATATTAATTAATTCTCCTGCGGAATCGAACTCCCCAAAAAAAATTCCAAGAACGTTTAAATGAATGAGGAGAGGAGTGCAGTGGAAGAAACGAAGGAAATATTAATAGAGGGGCCCAAAATAAAATTGTATATCCGCAGTGGTGTAATTGTAATTCTTCAAGGGCCGAAATTAGTAGGTACTGAAACAATATATAGGTATATTTTTCGCCCTTGTGCAACCACTTCTGTGTTTATCCTCTGTTTAAATATTTGGATGATTGCGGCTTGGACGGATGCTGAGAAAAAAGCTGAGGAATTTTCAGCGGCAATAAAAGTTAAAATAAAAAAGGAGTTGGCAGAGCGTATTAACTTTTCTCTCTGGTGAATTACGGTCGTCCGTCAAATTAGAGTGCATATTATGGGAGGTGTATGTAATTATGTGGCGAGTTCCACGCAACGCTCGTCGACTCGCTGAAGAGCTGATTATAGGGGTTGAAACAAATAAAAAGGAATTCAGTCATTCGGCACTAACAGCCTGCCTGGCACATCCTGCGTGCTCATGCCACCAACACCATCCAATTCATTCCTCGGATAATCACACGCACCTCTTCTGGAAAGAAGAAAAATGCCTTTGCTCTTTTTTGCTGCCGGAGACTCCAACGATCGGTGCAGTTGCTCGCGGCATCCATTCCCACCGAAATTATGTTCAAACTTGAGAAGTGGCCAAAAATATAGGATTTTAATGTAAATCGTATTTAGCTCGAGAAAGGAATGAAAATAATAGGACCTCACGTGTAAAGAAGACTTTGAATTTATTTGGGAAATAACATTGTTTTATTGCTTTTCTCTAATATTTCGGTCTGTTTCTATACATATTTACAAAAATCTGTACAAAATTATAGTTGTTGACACGCTTGAAAATTCTCATTTCAAAATACATTTCATAAAAAGCACATCGGTAGACATCACGTACACAATCTATTAAGGAGCAGCATCTCTAAAAAATATAATATTAATGCAATTGCCGCAGCTAATGCTCAAGAGTTGGCGTTAAAATGGCAATAATTTAATTATGGCAATAAAAGCATTTCTTCCTTTTAATTGGTTTTCCATAAAATGTTGATTGTCGTCAATGAATACTATACAGCAATCGTCACTATTATTAATGAAATAAATAGGAATAATAAAGTACAGGTACATGATGATTTTCAGCACCAATTTGCCCAGTTTACCGTGACCCGCCGTTGCAAGAAGCCTCTGTGCATAATATTTTAAGCAACATTTAAATAAATTAAGTAGTTCACAAGTAATATTATTATATTTAGACTCTTTCAACAAACTAATCAACTATTAAATGATTTATATTTAAAAAAAAAAAAAAACGCCCTTTGGCTTGGAGCTCAATGTGTGACACCAAATTATCCAGCGCCTCTCCAGAGGGACTTTTGGCACAATGTCATGACTAATGATTGGAATGCAGTTGTTGTCATCTCAACAAAAATTTGTTTCATTTAATAGCAGTCGAAAATTGGGCCAATTTTTGGCCAACACCAGTGGGGCGGATGACCTCATCCGCTGTTAATAAGTTGCAGGCGGGACACGGTAACAGAAAAAATGCACTCGCTCGAACCGACGGCGCACTTATTCGAGTCCGACTGCTGGTCGTGATTAAGTTTTGGGATTTGGTGGAAACTTTCGAGCACAACAGAGAGGCCTACAACGCCTCCACCCTCCTCTCGCAAATTGGCGTGAGCCTTCACGTGGCCTTAAAATTACTCCTAAAATAATTGTCAATCACAGCAAGAGTTTGAAGGGGCCGGCAGGTTCATATAATTATTTCGGCAGTTCATGGTATTATCTGCAGCCGCAGCCCTGCACCTCCATGTCCTTGTAGTTTTTGAGCACAACCGTCTCGTCTTCGTCCACGTACAGCATAGAGATGGACGAGAGCTCGGTGGGCACGCAGCACGCCTTGGGCACGCTGCCGTGCATCGAGTTCATCAGGTTCTGGATGACTGCGTGGTTGGTGGTGTTGAAATGCGCCGCCAACGGGTACGGACACTCGCCGTGGCAGTAGTACGCGTCGTAGCCCGGTGGTGCCACGATCCAGTCGTTCCACCCCACCTCATCGAAGTTGACGTACAAATTGTGCCGACGACACGTTTCCCGCACTGGCTGTTTGTGCTTGGCTCGGCCCTTTGGGTCGCTCCGTTTCATCTGTGGACAGAAAAAAAATAGTTCCGTTTAATCACATGAAACTACCAAATGCTTCAATCAATTTTGAATGCTGTATTTCTTCTAATGATATTTAATTGATGAGCTTGAAATTAGAGAGAATGATTCAAGTCAATTAAAAGCTTCCCACTAACAATATAATAAATTATTACAAAATTTTAAATAAAATCTTAAGCAATCATATTAACTTCCTGGCAATGAAAAATATAAATATAAATTTTATTAAGATTCAAACTAGCGTGTATTTTTTAGCTTCATTAGTGGGAAAATAAAACAACAATCCAAATTTCCTCTTTTTCAAAATAATTTTATTTTGTTTATAACGTTTTATTGTATCACTATATTTTATGAAATTAATACAAATTAAGCAACAAATAAATAAACACCGCTTAGAATTATAAATAATTTTAAACATAAACTTGAAGATTGTTTAACGCTTAAAAATAAGTAAATGCCAAATAAATGTCAATTTTATTTATTTAAATTGTTATTATTGTAAATTTCAATTTTTTACGCAATTAAATATTTTATCTTTTAGTTTTATATTTAATAACATTAATTTTAATTTATTTACATTTATTTTTATATTTTTTATTTCATCTCGTGAGCTAAATGAAAGCCATATTAACATGCATACACATTAACATTAATCCCTCTCATTTCATGATTCATAATATAAATATTATATAAATAGTAAATTATGACGTGAAAACATGAATAATAAAAACGAAAAAGGTAAAATAAATATCCAGGAAAGCTCTCTGACAAACCGTTTTTACATAAACAAATACGAAATCACAATCCCAGGTTAGCAAGAAAATATAAAAAAGTACTAAAAATAAGCAAATCACGGAAAGATAATGAACAAATGAAATTAGGAACTAATAAAAATGTTAAATAAATGGTAATAAAATATTGACCCTTTTTGAAGGGTGAACTGACCTTGCTGCGACGATGTCTGGCGTCGTCTGTGTACGCAAAGAGGAGGGGCTGCTCCCTGAGCCACTTGCGCTCGGACGGGGCCTCTCTTCGCCGCCGCCTTAGTCTGATGTTGTGTTGGGCCTCGGACGCGCCGAGCACTTCGATAAGAAGCCCGTGGTTGAGGTGGGGCGCCGTCCGCCACCGCACCACTGCCGGCAACACGTCCAGCGAGACTCCGCTCTCTGGGTGCGAGGCGTCCACCTCTTTTGAGTCCAACAGCCGCAAAATGGCCTCTTGGCCGCCGAGCCGCGTGCCTGGCCGCACAATGTCGTGCACCAGCACGCGCACCCGCTTCCGCCGCGTCGTGTCCGGCGCGCTGGACGCGATCGTCCGACTTAGGAGTAACTCTGCGGCCTGCAATTCTTCCTCCGCCGGGAGTTTCTCCACGTCGAAGTGCAGCCGGAAGCGGTTGCGGCCCTCAGGGAATCTCAAGTCCGCCTCGCTTTCTGCGAACACATGCAAATGGGCTGGTTAATTTTTCAGTTTTCACTCTCAACTTGAGGAAAAGGCTATAAAAGCTGTAAAATACAAATGATCTGATTCATGCGGTTATGTAAAATTTTAAATGCTGATTTCCTTCCTTTATATTTATAACATGCCAAATCTTCATTTCATTTCAATGATAAGACCTTTTAAAATTAGAAGTTTCTAGTTTTAATTTAAAATATTATTAGAATTTACTTTTATTAAGATTAGTAAAATTACTTTTGTTTAAAAATTTACTAGAATTTAAAATTTACATGTAAAGATGTATCTTTTACAAATTAACCATAGTTAATGGCTTTCTTGTGGACTCGGTTAAAGAAGGTAAAAAAATATATTTCTATTAAAACTTAATAAACCAATAATTATCACATAAATTATTTTGGTGCAATCTGGAAACTTTTTTTCATAAAAAAATGTTCGCTGAAACAATTTGCAATGAGATTCTTCAGAGTTAACTCAAATAAAAAAGAAAATCTCATTTTGTTCGTCATTTTTGAGCACTGAACGAAAAACTGGCGTCGGTTTATTCTTTCCTCACCTTTATGAGTGAAACTTCTAACCGTGTTGGCCGATCCCGTTCTCTTGCCTGGCACGTTGAGCGACGTGGTGTCGAGTTCGAGTCCAGTCTGTAGGCGGTAGAGTTGAATGAGCGCTTCTGGAACGACCACTTTGGATCTGTCCGGCCTCGGCCGTTTGCTCAGGCTGAACATCTTGAGCAGGCTCTCCTCGACCCCTTTGACCAAGCGAGCTGTGTTGTCGTCCGCAGTGGAGACAGAGGAGCTGGGCAGTATCATGGTGACCACCAGCAACATCACAACGCAACCTCCGCGCATGGTCGTCACACTCCTGCAAAAGAAATTAATACAAAAATTATTAAATAAATTATAAAAATGTATTTTAAATAAAATAACAAAAAGCATTACAAGTTGCGAGGAGGAAAGAAACGTGCTCGCGAGGCGAAAGATAAAGACAGCTGTTTGCTGTCGGCGGCGCCTACGCAAAGCCGAGGCGCCATGCAGTCTGCACCGGGAGTTTACACTCCTGGTCTGGACGGGCAGTCTGTCTGTGCTGAGAGCGTCGTTGGCGCAGAGGCACCCTCGGCCGCCAGAGAGCTCTGGCCGAGGAGGAATGGAATCTCCGCGGCTCACTCTGCATATAGAGAGAGAGAATTTTATTTCATCAGCATGCCTGTGTGCTTTTTTACTTAGTTGGCCCCTCCTACGACACAGCCTCGCTCTTTGTTTCTCTTTTTTAGTTGGTTTTCAATCAAGGAAAGGCGCGGCCTGGGGAGACAACCGAGACGAATAATACCTGAAAGGCGATTTTCCAACACCTCATCACCGCCGCTTTTTATCGACGGCCCTGACTGACTCACATTGGACCAACGGCCGAGAAAATTATATTTAGTCACACAGGACGCTGATCTTCCAAACAAGTTTCGCTTTCCACGAAATTGAATTAAAAAAAAAGAAGAAGCTATATATTTTTATCAGAATTTGAAATTAACGAGACAAAATCACCGCCGGCAATTAAAATTTTTAACTTCAATCTAATTTTAACAAATATGAGAATTCTTTAACTTTTGTTAATTTATCAATCAATTAATTTGGTCAAGAATACACCTGTGTTTAAACAATGTATGTTTGTTGTCTTTTCCAATAAACATCATTCATTCGTCTTTTCCCGGCGTCTCATTTTGAGCAGCCCCTCTGCACGGTAAAAAACAAATATAGATTTTCTATTATAGTTTCAGTCGCGCTTCCGCCGCGGTATATTTTTTTATAATAAGAAGAGCAAATTTTGTCTGCGCCGCTTTTTTAATGACGCTCATATTATGTATTGTGCCGTGCGTGCTGTTTTCCGGCAGGCATGAATCGAAATTCCATTCATTGAAAAACAGAAGAGGCCGTCGGTCGGGTTTCTTGACACGTTCGCCAAAGTGCTTTGTGTGACGAGCGCGTCAAACGAGTGCGCCGCGCACACGCGATTTGCGGAATGTCGGACATTTTCCGTCTCGGAATTCGCAGACTGCTTCAAATGGAAATCAAAATAGAATAATAGCATGGACAAATTTCTCAGCAAAACATGATTTAAGTAGAATATATTCAGTTTTACAAAAAAATCAATGGACTGTTATATTATAGTTTCTATTTTCTCAAAATTATTCAGAAACCTTAGTTTCTAGTGATTATGAATAAAAAAAAAACTAATACAGGTTGTAATCATATTAGTTAATTTTTGATTCGTTCATTTTTTCTTTTAAATTTTAATAGTTTAATTTCAAAGTTTAATAAATTTTTAATTTTTGAATAAAAACTTTGTACAAAATAAGCAGATGATTTTGTTTTGTTTGCAGCAAAATAATTATCTCGCACAATATTTTTGAGCGCCAGGCGAGAAGCACTTTGTATATTTATGATTATTAGCGCGGGCACAAGTTGCAAAATACCGCTCAGCAGAAGTGCTTTGACTCTTCAACGATTCGTCGTAAGAGGCTTAGTTGCAGTAAATTGGAGCTGCATGCAAATACTCAGAGGCTTCTCTTTGTTTTCCTCTGCGAGATTGAGCCGGGGTAGGGTTACACACCGCCGCTCGTTCGTTGACAACAACAGCACCTCTCTTTTTCCCCACATAATATTATCCAGGTCGCCGTGCAGCGATTTTCCATTTTGACGCTGAAGCTGGAAATTTTCATGGCAAAGCAAATATAATCGACGCAGGCAGACCGTATTACGAGAAAAAAGAAAAAGAGCGTGTTGAGAGTGGAACGTGCGCTCCATTATTTACAATTTGAGATGCTTGGCGGTTTTGCCTGAGAAAAGTACATGTACGTGCAGCCTCTTAGCAGGTGTTCACTCATTAAGCATCAAAAGAGGATGAACAAGAAGAGAGCCTTCCGTACAACAATCAAAGGAGACCAACCGGTCCGTGCCTTAATTGTTAAAGTACACACATACAAAATAAGTGCCCCCAACTCGTGTTCGATGCAACCGCACATATTACACGCGCACTTTTTTGCTCGCCCAGATGCGGCGCTGAGTTTTGTTATTTTTTTCCCGCACCCGGTTGGTCCTTTTGCATTTTGAATAACGACATTTTTGCATAAATTTATATAAATCTATTCAAGTGAGCTATAAAAAAAAATCGAGCCGCAGGGCTTGCCACAAGAGAATTGGAAAATTTCCCTCGCCTCTCACTTTCATCATCCATACACACAACTCTTGTAACCTTTACGAGTCGCAGCTAATTAATAATGCACTGAAAAAAAATGCTGCAAACCTGTCTCTTGCGGCGCCTATAGAGATGCACTTGTATAAACGATGCAACCCAAGTAATTATTTTTATCCGAGCCGATTAAGTGGATCAATTAAAGAGCATGGAGTTTATTGCATCAGTAGTAATCTTGAGTGTATTAAACAATGGAAAAAAAATAAATAAATAAAATGATTTGGAAAAAATCATTAGAAGTGAATGAAACAATAAAAAATTTGAAATTTTTTCCAAACTTCACAATTAATAATTTAAAATTATATTATTACATTAAGAGTTTTAATTCGATTCAATGAATTATTCACTTAGATTTTTTTACGTAGCACGGAATCCAGGTCTAAATTTTAAACAGCTTCAGAAATTTTCCCATGATTTATCAATTAAAATCAAAGTTAATAAATTTTATAAACTCTGTTCAAAATTTTAAAACAATTTTCTAATATGTTACACATTAAATTTCTTAGGACGTGACTTAATTTGCATATGGATTCTATTTATAACAAAGATCAATACCAATTGTACACGCGAGATTCCTGTTTAAGATCAGCAGATTTCTCTCTCTGCAGCTCCACGTCAGCGTTGCGGTGCAAATTCACTTTTGAAATTCAACACTTCAGCAAACAAAAAACAAATTAGGCGACTTTTCAATCCTCCATTATGTGACGCCGTGGAAAAAAAATTGAAAAGCCACAGCAGCTTTGGATGTATGTAGAAGCAGTAAATAAATATGTTCGAGTGTAGGAAAGCACATAAAGCAGTGTTTACTCGAACAGGTGTGCGCGAAGAGATCTTTTCAGAGAGGAGGTCGATGTCAAGCTCTATGTATTTATTCTCAGGTGTGTGAGTGAGTGCGTGGATAAGCAAATGCCGCGAGACGGTCCCCACCAACCCCCTTGTTTCATGACGACACCATGTACGTCTTGTACACATCACATTTTTTTTTTTATTAAAAAGACTGCGAGAGAGAGATTTGCTCATGATACATTATGAAGCAGCAGAAAATGAGCGGCGAATCTGCTTCTCCCTCTTCTCTCTGCATGGGTCTTTTTAACTCCAGCGGCGCGCACTTGCACACCTGGTTGGCTTGGTGTAATTTTTTATAATAAATTTATCAGCATCTCATCGCGAATTCCTTCTGCCTCGACGTGGACGTGTAATATTTGCCCGCCCATCCGTGTATTGATATTTAATACACATTATAAGGAGGCACGCAAAGAACAAGGGGCATTATTTATTTTAGCTACAAAGAAAAGAGAGGTGCGCCCGGCGTAAAATTTTTATTCAACATACTTAGACCGCTTCTTTTTATTTAGAATAAAAATACTTATTAATTAAGACAATCCTTTTTTCATTAAATAAAAAAACCAAGTTAAATGCGGATGGTAATTTTCAAATTGTTGGAACTGTGTCTGCCATTAGCATTCGCGGAACGAATCTTTTTCCCATATCGTCGGTTTCCTTCCGCCGAATCGGTGAACAAATCGACCGCAACGGCGCGGTTCACGTTAAAAACATTAAGCAGACAATTTAATTACAGCTCGCAAAAAGAAAACCGGCGCGGGGAGAGAAAATTGCAGAGTTTCAAATACGGGAGGTCTGCGAAGGAGGAGGCGGTCGCCGCCGCCGCCGCGCGCGGATTTAATATTTGTTAGAGATGAAAGCCTGCGGAGCCGCGCTTTAATAATGACGAGCTGGAAAAATACGACGTCTGCGCGCGGATAGAACGAGAGGACTATATCGAGGAGAGAGAGAGAGACGTAGAAACTGGAGAAAAAAAATGGAGCTGCCTGCAGTAACAACATATAATTTGGTGATGCTTTCAGGCCCCCATAAAGGTGGCTAAAAAGAAGATATAATAATGACGCCGGCCGGCCGGTCGACCGGCCTGTGGAGGACGCTAAATATGCCCAGCACCGAACGGACCAACTCTCGGGTGTGTGTCGGGGCTCTTACGAAGAATTACCACACACACCACACCATATCGATGCCCGTGCTTTTTAAAAAGGTAATTTTATATCCCCATATGCAGCGCCTAGGGCGGGTTGTGTAATAAGTTCAAATGCTCTCTGCGCGTCGGAGAACGCTCGCTCACCACACATCTCTCTCACTCCGCGTGCCATTGGGGTTTCTGGTCTTTTATCTCTTTGAGTAGAAAGAAAGAAAGAGCACATCTCTTCATTTCAATCGGTGCGACTCATTCCCACGCACATTTTATGTAAAATATTTATTCAAATTTTCCTTAATAGTTTTTTTTAATAAAGAAAAAAATGGGGCCTAAATTATGACGTATTTATTGGATTGTGTCAGATTTGTATCGACTGGAATGATGAAATTATTTTGCCCGAATAAAGGAATCCTATATGCAAATATAAATAATAAAAAATACAAAAAATATTTATTATTATTAACCTTTTAAATTTAGTTTAATCACGGAAAGGATAGGAAAAATATCTGTAAATAATAGAAATTAATTATTATACAGGCTCCAAATATTGGTGCATAAAAACAGCTGATTAAAATTTGATCTGTTAAGAAATTATTAAATTATTATTATTTCAAAAAAAAAATTAATATATTTTTAAATCAAAGAGTTTGTAATTTTTTCGGACTGGTAGCCTCCAATAAAAATCAAAACTGATTGTGAGATTAAACAATGTGCTATATCACAATCGGTAAATGTGCCCACATTTGCACAGCTCGCGGCTGCGAAATTATAATATCGCGTTGTACACCACGTTACAATTTGAATATAAACGTTCACCGAGAGGCAACATGCCGTTTAAAATTCTATTTGCACAGCGTTTAGCGCTAAGCGAGCTTGATTACACTTCAAAATTGAACGCAATTACGCTAATTAGGTGCACCAGAGGCATTTTACAAAGTCTCTTTAAGCCATTTAGAAATCACGTTCGCTTTTGAAAGTGATTTATGTTTGACATTTCCATATTAATCCGAGTTTGGATTTTCCTGCTATAGAGCGCAATAATAAACACTTGTGAACACCAATTTACAAATATTTGAATGCTTTTTGATTCACTGAATCTAGACTAGGTCAAACAAAAGTGTGCATGCGAGTTTCAAAACACGTGGACTTTTGAGAATTTTGGTGATTCATTCTAAAATAAATTTGTATATGCAAAATTCCAATTAATATTTTGCCATAAACGCCGTAGTATAAATATAATTTGTGCTCTTTTTCATTTATCAGCGAAGAAAAAAAAAGGCGATAAAACGCCGCAATAAAGAAGAGCCCTCAGTCAGCGAGGACTGTATGATTTTGGGGCAAAAAAAGATCACCTCTCCCATTGTGAAGCTCAGGTGAAAAGCTTGTTACTGAAAAGGAGTATTATAAAAGTAATGAACTCCAAGCGCAGCTTTTGGGGAAGAGCAGAGGGGCTGCTCTTAAAATCTCGAAGACAAAATGCGTTCGAAAATCTTGTACTTTGGTTTTACGACACTGAATTTTTAGGAATGCCAAGGTAGCGTTTCTAGTTCTGCGTATGTTTGGAAATTGGCGAAAATCCTGCCTCTCCGAACAGCTAAAAGCCGGCTCAAAATGGTATTGGCGCCAAAAAACCTACGCCATTAAAATAATTAAGCTCACATTAAGAGGCCGGTTGCTCTGCGCGGGTCACGTGCAGAAACGTGAGGAGACTATCAATCGCGGCTTCCGTCGAATCGCAGCTAGTCTTTTCCGAGAAACAATTCGTCATCTTAACAGCATTAAAAACAAACAAACTTCCCTCCGCAACAATTAAATACATACACATCTCAATCAGCTCACGCCCCGATCATTGTGGGGCTGCTTTAAGAGGTTTCAGGCTCAGCAGGACAGGAAAGATTAAGTCATAAGAAGAGAAAAAGGGAGGCTGCACGAAAAGCGCAGGCAGGGAGAGAGAAAGATGCGTCGCGGCAGATAATCCACAATGGAGCAGCAGATGTTGTGGTCCACAACAATATAACGAAATGAATGCGCCACGCAGTCTGCCTTATGCGGTGGAAAATCATTATCGGTTCTCACGTGCTCAGCAGCAGCAGCAGCAGTTCGCTTTTGAAAAGAGCCAAAGATACACTCTCGGAATTATTTTGTCACCGCCTGTCAATGCTCGCTCGCCTTTCAAAACACGCCCCTGCGAGTCAAGCAGGAATTCATTCTTCGCACCATAGCCGCAGCAAAGCAGGACGTCCACGCCAACAATCATTAGCGGATTAGCCCGAATCTAACTGAGAAGCGCGCCGGACAGGTGTTGTTTTGACGGAACGTGCAGCGGAATGCGGTATAATTTTGGCTAATTTGTTCTTGTCTGTTTTTTACAGAGAAATTTCAAAGTCCGAAGGAATATTTTCCTGCTCTGGTGCAGGATGAGTTCGAGAGAGCCGCCGCCGAGATCTCAAGTGTACTCGTGAACGTTTAATTTGCTCTCGAGGCCTCGCCCATAAACTGTAATATTGTTTTATATACGTATGCGCTCGACGGCGCTCGCTGCCTGGACTGACTGAACGAGAAAGAGGCGAGAAAAATATTTCCACTACGGGAGAAGAGGCAGCTCAGGCTACTTATAACGCTTATTTTGCCACACCTTTCTTAAGAAACCTTACAGAAATAACAGATTTAGTGGAAGAAGAAGAAGAAGAAGCTGCTGCCTGCGCGAGAGTTTACCCAACGCTTGCCACTTAAATTCTTCCGAATGTGTGTACTGAGCCAATAAACAATAATCCGATTTGGAGCGAAAATTATAAAAAAAGTATTAAAAAAAAGTGAAATCGGAAAATCATTTCCTCGATTGTCATGATTCACGGATTTAAAAATCAGATTCGGAATTAATTGGAATTGGATGCCACGCTGGCGTTTTATATGCTTTTGTGCTGGTAATTTCCAGCAAAAGGCTGGGCCGAAATTCCAGATAAGTGGTGATTACCGCAGGGTTGCTTCTGGCGTGACGTCACTACGCACATTTGATGGTTCCTAATGACAGCCCAGAGGACAATTTGCGCAGCAAGGGGGAGAGGAAGTGCTCACTGGAATGAAAATTTCTGCCTGCGTTCAGGTGTCCATCAGCGGTGAAGGAAGTGAAACGTATCAAATTCACAGGACCAAAGTTCAATCGGCTGCTGGATGTCCCAGATAAAATCGGCGCATTCACACACGCTTCACGTTTCTCGGCGGCCTCAAGCTCATTTTCGGCACTTTTTTATTTTAATTTCTGTTCAGCGCACGAGGTAAGCGCGTGATTTATTATTTTTTTGTCTCGTTTTGCCTCGGAGATTTTGACGCCCGAGTTTCCGAACTTGAAAAAAAATTCTATTAATTTTGATAATTTATTTCAGGGCGGCCACACCTTTCTCGTCTCATCTGTCACTCGCCGGAGAAATTACACGAGTATAATAATAAATTATTATATATAAAATATTGTAATTGCACCACCTTTCGTTGCACAAATAACTGCGTCGCAGTAAGTTTTCCGCGCGCCGCGCTCGGCGGCGCCGATATCAAAAGTGGACCGCTCACTCTCGCGCGCGCACGTTTCATATGAAATTAATGGATAAATGAAGAAAATGCAAATGCGAGCGCGACTCACCTTGAAAAATCAAACGATGGACGGCGAAATCCTTGTTGAGTTTCAAGGAGCAAAAAACAGTCATCTCCTCGGAGTGGGTTGAGCGCGATGGGCGGACAAACAGCAATATCCTGCACATGACACATGCACGGGCACCAGCAAGGGTCATCACTGGCACACACGGGTCACCTCATGGTGGGCACCGCGCAGTTTCAGACGCACGTGAGAAAAAAATCCAGCAGCAGGGAGAAAAACGCGAGAGAGCGAGCGTAGGAAACGCGACAGTAGGGGCCACTGGCGCTGCGCCGAGAACACTGGCGGGCGAGCGAGCGGCCAGCCCGAGCGAGAGCCGCAGCCAGCCCGCGGAGTAGGAGGAGATGGAGCGAGCGATGGTGCTACTATCTAGCTGACTGACTATCCACCTTCACTCCTCCCCTCTCGCCAACCCTGAGCACAGCCTAAGGGCGAAGGATGCCATCGCACCTGACAATGAGAGCGGAAAAGCAGCCTTTCCATGCAACAACAAAGCTGTTGCTTTTCAATTATTATTAAAATTAATTTGTATTTTTAGTTCATTTTTACTAAAACATATTTATTATTAATTCTAAATTATTTAAATAAAAATGTGTTAAGATTTGGTGCTTTTAGCAAATTTTAAAAAAATTATTACACTTATTTAAATATTTTTTATTATTAAAAATTTGTTAAATATCAACAACTCCACCCAACGGTTGGAAGGACTATGGACTTGTTTTGCATGAGTCAGTAAAATAACCAAAATCAATTTTTTTGCTGATAACGCTAATTATTTTTCTGTCCCAAATCAGCTGCGTAAAATTTATCAATCAAATTAAATTTCCCACCGCAATTAGCCATTTTTTTAAATTTTGTTCTGTTTTGAATTCGTAACGTGAAAAAATTGTAATTGAAACAGATACCAAAATTCATCTTTTTTACTATATTTTTCAGGTATATTAAAAATCCGCTCTCGGTATGAAATATTGCCTTGTTTTAACCCAAAATCTTCCCATAATGTTCCCCCTTTAGCTCTCTGTTAGTCAATTGTGAGAAAATTAATGCCTGCCTGGAACAGGTGAGCGCACGTATCCCACTTTTATGAAATTCCTCCTTATGAATTGCCTCAAGGGTTTGAGAAAACGTTCATCATATTTCTCATTCCAAATTTTGGTAATCAAAAAATTTATTTTTAAAAAAAATCCCGTGAAATTAATAAGTTCGGTCATTTGCTTGTCATTTGAAAGCGAAATTTCTCTTTTGATTCCGGAGGTATAAAACTAAGACTGAGCTCATCACCGTCGTCCTTGACGACGATGCACCAAAAAACAATCGGCCTTAATTATTATAAAAGGGGTCAATAACCTGATTACAAAGTGACCCACAAGGTACCCAATGTTATGCGTTTCCTCGTCGGGCGTTCTCGTTCGAACGATTTCAAAATTCGCCAGCGACCGCGCCAGCAAAACGTCACAGGCGCCACCCTATATACATACATAACACAAGTTGTGTTTTTTTTTCATTATATTATTCGAAATGTGTTCCTTATACCGGCAGCTAGAGTAGCGCGCGTCGTTATAATGTGCTGCGGACACTCGTTATGGTCCCCCGAGGCTGCAAAAGTAGCGTATTTAGACATGCGTGTATAAATTAAGGAGAGATTTTTTTCTGCACAGAAAAATCAGATGGAAATTTTGTATATATACGAATAATTATGTATTTTGAGGCATTTAATTGAGATACGGGGCTCGATTCTTTCACCGGCGCGACGGAATCAGCAGCAGCATCTTTTGGTATGAATAAGTCTGCGCACAACTTGTTCTTTCTCTCTGCTCTGATATGTGAATTAAAATTGCTGGAGGCTTCACGCGAAATATTTAAGTGGCCAGCAGCACGCGTCAGTTTGGCGCCGGGACTTTATTATGGCAGTTAGCTACTGTGCACCTTGCATACGAAATCATATAACGCGATCATTTCACCCAGCAGCAGCAGCAGCAGCAGCAGCCATCAAAACTTCACGTTTTCTCGTGCGCGCAGAAACGGTTGTTATATTATCCCACCTAAGGGAGCGCGAGGAAAAAACCTGAAAAGTGGCAAACATCTCATAAACAAATAAATTGCCTCTAATGGAGAGCGCTTGTGTGCCCTTAGCTCGGCAGCATTCATTTTATTGCTGCCCCGCACAATTAATTTAATGGGCGATTCCAATTTTTCAACCACGGCTCTAAGTGAATGACCTGTGGCTATTAATGAGAAATTTTTCTCTCCGAGCACGAGAGAGATGTGCTCATGCCGCTGCCGAAATACATAAATAATGTTGTTGAGTTGTAAAATTTGGCTGCTTTGGTGCTAAAATTGAGACCGGCAGGCCCGCAAATTGAGACGTGAGTGCCAAATTAATTGGGGCTATAAAGGCATTTTTCCAGTTTGGAAATGTGTGCATTAACAAATTTATGAGTTCGACTGAAGTGACTCTTAGCGTTTTATGGCGGCAGCCCCATTTCTGAACACAAACTTTATTGCCATATTTTAATCTCGCAGCTTCTTCTCGCAACGGCTGCGAAAACGAAGCGAGCAAAAGTGTTGTTATGTCAATTGCGGAGGGAAAAGTGTTTCTTTTACCTTTTTGAGGCTCACTGAGACAGATGATATTTTTCATGAATATTCTTGCTGGTTCTTTTTCCAAAAATTCCCTGTCTTTCAAATGAATTTTCAAAAAAATAGATTGATATCAACATATGAATTTTTACAATTTGAAAAATAAGAAACAACAACATAACAATAAAAAAAAGCGTGTTTGCTATATTGTTGTTTATTTTTCCACATTGTTACAAAAACATTGTTTACATTCAGTTGTTGACCTAATTAATTAAAAAAAGGTAATTGTTGGACAAAACGTCACCATATCACTAAGACTTACATTGTTGTCATTGCATCGAATTAAAAATGAATCATAACTAAATCAATATAAAACCTTTTGGGATTTCTAATGCAATTTGCATTTTGTAGTCAGGCGATTGAAAAAAAAATATATTAAATATTTTTGTTTCAATTTAATTAAATTTAATAAATTTTAAATATTATTTTTTAATTTCACATGACACAAGTCTCATAAAAGTCTGAAATTTCAACAGATTAAACATTTTATTGAATAAAAAATTAAATATGTTTGATATGTTTTATGAAATAAAAAAAAAATACTGTACTTCGAAATATTTTAATAAAATTAAACAAAAAATATGCATGTCTCAGTTATATTTATCATATTTATATTCTTCTTTGATAATTTTATGATTTTTTTTTTAAATTATTACGTTTCTGCTGATTTTTGTTACATCCATTAAGTTTTTCAATATGAAGCATTTTTTTTTTGCGGATTAAAAGATGGAGTTAAGGGAAGATTTCAGAACACCGATATAAGAGAAGGCATCACTCATCGCGGACGTCGAGTGCAGCAGTTTTTCCGCCCTGCTCACTTCTCGGCCTTCCTCTCTCAACAAAGTATTGACATTTATTTATTGCTTTTTGCTCGGCCGTGATTTTTGATTCATTGCGGCCAAGACCAGTTGTGTTTTATCTCTGCTCTCGCTCGACGTGGTGCGTTCAGAGAGAACTTGAAACTCATAATAACCGCAGAGATATTTCCCTTATCAGCCATCAATGTTCCTCTTCTCAGACTTCAGACCCGGCCATCATCTTGATTGAACACAACAATAATAATAATTGGATAACTTTTCAGCGCACCGAATTAATAAAAGTTACTCGGGCGAAAATTAATAAATTAATAAAATATTTTTCCAAATTTTACCAAGTTCTACAACTAAAAATGCAAAATGGCATCTTTGGAGTTAAAATTTTGCAAAATTAACGCAAAGCATGGTTTAATAATATAAAACCTTGAAAAGAGTCATGTTGAAAGACAACGACAAGTTGGAAAAGATTTTAATTGTTCTTTTCGGCCTCTCTGCGACTTGGATTGGCTTTCAAATAAGGAAAAATTTGTCATGTGTGGTGGCGGCCTCGGCTGAAAAATCTCCACCTGCAGCTCTCGGCGATCGAGCAGGGAAAGAGGCGCAGCGGCACAACCAGATCTGCAGCTTTTAATAAAACATTTATTTTTGTGAATGAAATTTTTCAACGCGCGCATCGTGCCTTGTTATGTACTAAATACATCTGCGTCGGGGCACGAAAGACAATGGCGTGTGCAAATTCAGGCCTGTTATACGCGAACGCAACGAAAGGAATACACGAGAGCGATACAATTTATGTGCCGGAGCGATGAGCGCGTTTTTTGCCCGCACAAGCGGATCTATTCTTGTCACATCAGCCGCAGAGTCGCAGAATGAGAAGAAGAGAGTTAAACATCACGACATCAAACCACCGCACCGCGCGCAACTTTTTCTGCATTTCCACTTTCTGAAAGGCACACACTGTCCGCCGTCCGGACCCAAGCGGCGGTCGACACGTTTTTGCCCAGCAGCTGGCCTTCAAAAATCTGCCCCAGCTGAGAGGCTCAAAAACTTCCATCCCAACTTAATAATAATTTAATACGAAACTCTCATAATCTGTCAATAATTAAGCATAACAAAATATCTGAACTTGATATTTTTTTAATCAAAAAAAATCCACCAGCATCATGAGACCAATCAAATTTGTATATTTCCCTTATTTTTTTTTTAATAAAAAATAGATTGCTAAAAAGGTTAAAATATCAGTTTACCTTAAAAATATATTTAATGCGGAGAAATATTATAATTTTTTACTATACAAAATATATATTTAATTAATAAAACATAGATGAAGATTGAATATCTTTTCAATGAAGTCCAAAATTTTTTTAAATTTTTTTGCTTGCATAATTTATCAAATGAGTGAATATTTGCGACGAATACAAAGCAATTGACCCTCTATATTATAACAGGTTCTTAAGCGACCCTGTGAATCTTTACCGGGTCTTTCTTTTCCACTCACACTCACAATCGATTGTGTTACTTTCCCTTGGCTAATTGATAAAATTTAAAATTTTATCGTGCTAATTGTAAGTAATATTCATAATTCGTTGCTGGTTATACACTTTAAATTGCTTGATTCAATATGAATTTGGTTTCTTGCGAAAGTTTCCAAGTAAGATTTCAACCTCAAAATATGCATGCCTGCAAAAATTAATTTATTTCTTTTGCATTGGTCATTATTCATTTGAACTGTTTTTCAAGATTTTTTTCATTTGACACTTTTTCAGTTTTTTTTTTCAATCTTCTCTGATCTTTTTGTAGTTTGCTACTGTAGAAAATAAAAAAAACCTGCAGGATTTCTTAATCCAGCCTGGTTTTTCTTTAGAAATTATTATCTAATTAAAGAATTCGAATTTTCCTCTAAATTTTCATCGCTTTTTTACAATAATTTTTGCGTAATGCATATCATTCGTCTT